TTTTTTTTTTTTTTTTTTTTTTTTTTCTCTCAAAAAAATTAAGACAATTTTGATATTAATCGATAAATTATAGTATTTGATGGAATTAATCCTATTTTAAGAAAATAAATATAACCATCAGGACTATTTGGGTTGACATTATTATAAATATTAGTTGAGTATTGGCGAGGATTAGTGTGATTAAGATTCTTCACTTGCGAATCTGATTTATAAATTATTAAATTTCTATACATAAGAATATGTTACTTATATGTAAATGAAAATAAATTATTTTAATTAATAGAATTTCATTTGAATAATAATTTTTTATGTTCATGGTATAAAACAAGTCAAAAATGAATAAAAATTAAAAAGAAAATATTACATCAACATTAATGTAAAACTTTTATAGTATCCATAATTTTGATATCTGTTAATAGAATTTTCTTATAACATATAGTGTAGATATAAAACATTTATGTCCAAACCATTTATATACTAAAAGATTATAACTATTTTGTGATCTTATCAAGAATTTTATCTAAATAAATGTTTATAAACACACATCAATTTATATTGTACGAGGTTTTTCCTAAATTAATAAATTTTCTTTATTTCATACGCCTTTGTTAAAATATTTGTCAGTTCTGTTACTGAATACTAATATTAATTTCTGATAATTGGTGGTATATTAATGTATTTTTAAAATTTAAGTTAGGTTGAAAAAAGTGTTATTTTTTAAAATAAATATGTATATGATGATAAAAAATTTTAGTCAGTTCTGCTACTGATAAGAACTTGATGAAAGTTGCATTCTGATAAATTCAGTATTTTTCTTTTTAAACAATTTTATTGTGATGATTTAAAATATTTGTCAGTTCTGCTACTGAGTACTAATGAAGATATACATTTCTGATAATTGGTAGTATAGTAATGTATTTTTAAAATTTAAGTTAGGTTGAAAAAAGTGTTATTTTTTAAAATAAATATGTATATGATGATAAAAAATTTTAGTCAGTTCTGCTACTGATAAGAACTTGATGAAAGTTGCATTCTGATAAATTCAGTATTTTTCTTTTTAAACAATTTTATTGTGATGATTTAAAATATTTGTCAGTTCTGCTACTGAGTACTAATGAAGATATACATTTCTGATAATTGGTAGTATAGTAATGTATTTTTAAAATTTAAGTTAGGTTGAAAAAAGTGTTATTTTTTAAAATAAATATGTATATGATGATAAAAAATTTTAGTCAGTTCTGCTACTGATGAGAACTTGATGAAAGTTGCATTCTGATAAATTCAGTATTTTTCTTTTTAAACAATTTTATTGTGATGATTTAAAATATTTGTCAGTTCTGCTACTGAGTACTAATGAAGACATACATTTCTGATAATTGGTAGTATAGTAATGCATTTTTAAATTGAAAAAAATGTTATTATGTAAAATATATATATATGATGATACATTTTTTTCTACTGAGTATACTTGTTGACCATTTTACTATGAGTTTACTATATACTAATATACACCAATCTTACTAGAATGATGAGTATTTATTTAAGTCAGTTCTGCTACTGATTTATATATGATAGAAAAATATAATCTGATAGTATGAAAGTACAAACATTACTTAAAAAATTTATCATTAATGCTTTTTATTTACACTTATAGTTTTTAATATTTTATAATATTACTTTTTACAGCTTACCCTCCTCAAGGATATGATTATTATGGAGGAGCTGCATATCCTGGATATGAAGCTGATTATTATGGAAGTTATGGTTATGCTGGCTATGGTAAGAGTTTAAGTTATTTTATTTAAACTTTGTGTTTTATAATTTTCAAAAATATGCAGAATTGTGGTGTTCTACTTTTGAAATAACTATTATCAATTATATTTTGTACTTGAACTCTTGAACATAAACCCATTTCTTAATTGTATTAATAATTCTATTGTTAATCAATATATTAGTAAAGCTTTATTATTTAATTTGACCAATGTTAAAATAACTTCTGAATTTTACATCAATTAATGTATTACTAGAGATCCTCTATTTCTCTGTCCTCAATCAACAAGAATGCATTTAGTATCATGTCATTAACAATTTTTTACACAATTTCTTAATTAAACTTTAATAACTAAGGTGATATAAGTATGTAAATAAAAGTAATAATTAAAAAAAAAATTTTAATTAGATTATGGGTATGGTTATGAAGCACCTCCAGCGCCAGTTTCAGCTGCCAGGGGACGTGGTAAATATAATAAATTTTCTTCTAAATAATTACACCTAACTTTTTTTATTTTATAGCTGCATTTAATGGTGCTGGTAAAGCTAGAGGAGCATCTCGAGGATCAGGAGCTAGGCATGCTCCATATTAAATATTCAACTATGTTTCATATGTGTTAATAATTTGTGTGTGTCCGTGTGTATTTACACTATTAGGTAACAAAATTTTTTTACAAACAAATTTTCTGACGACAATAACAAATAGCAGAAAAATAGACCACTCTGTCCTTAAGTTATTAATTTTGTATGTTTTAAACATAAAACAATTATTAATGTACAAAAAATAGATTTTAAATTAAGCACAAAGTTAATATTACAATAAACGTTTGTAAATGTTCGTACATTTTTTACTTTATAGTATAGTTCGTAATTTGTAACATTATTTTTCCTAATAAATAAATATAGTGTATTTATAGATTTTATAATATATCGTATATTATAAGTATTTGCTTTTTAAGAATTTCTTATCCTATTCAAATTTATACTAGTTACTATTTGCTTGTGTATTTTGTAAGATGAAAAATAACTGTTTAATAATTTTATATCTATAAATATTTGTGCGTGTTATGGGTCATTGTACTATAAATATATAAATGATCAAGAATAATACAAGAATGATAATTACAATAATTTTTTTTTTTTTTTTGTTAATGAGGCTAACTAATGTTTATTTTTAAACTAAGTCTTAATATTTATCAACAAATATTACAAGCTATAGCTCTTTCCCTTCGTGAAAAATAAAGTACAATTATTCTGCAAATTATGTCAGATTTGCCATGGACTACATTAAAAAATTTTAGTTATTATTAAATGCAACCCCCCTTTTTAAGAATGCGATTTATTTAGAACCTAAGTAGTCGTATTTAGGTTGTGTCATTATTAAACATATTTATCCGTTTATGGATTCATTATAAATATATTTGTAATATATTATACAATATGAAAAAAAATTAAATTGTTAATAATGGCTATGACACATTCTAGAACCTTGTTAAATGACCGACTGTTTTTCGGTTCATTTTATATGAATTATACACAAACGTTTACAAATTTTAGACGAATTTATTTTGTATAAACGAAAATGTTTATGGTCCGTTTGTTGCAAAGTTCAGTTGTCTGACCTACCATTTGAGTTTATATAAATTTAAAATGATTCTTAATTTTTAATGAATAGTATTACTTGGAATCTTTTAAAGAAAGCTTTTTAACCTGGTAAAATCCTAATAAGATCGTGATTAAAACTTTAATAAAAAACAAGGTTTAAAATGCATTCGTGGAGTAATTAAAAAAATTGATTATTTTCTATTTTGATAAAAATTAAATATATAGATATATTATTTTCATCCTCCAAACAACATATATATTGATTCATTTATTAAAATCAACTATTATTTACAAAATGAATGTTTTTTTAAAAAACCATTAATTTAAAGAAAAAAAAATGTCATCAATTATAAATTTTTTACGTTATAAATTTATCAACTTTTATTTTTTAGTTACTATATGCATGTCTATAAGTTAATGTTTTTTTTTTTTTTTTCCCTACATGTATATTTTTATATATTTAATGTGTATAGTTATTGAAGAAATTTGGAGGAGCTCCTCAACATGCACTATACCTATCGAACTCAATATCTGTTTTAAAAAAGTAATTCAATAAATTTTCTAACAAAAGCAAGTTTTAAAAAAAAAAAATTCTGAAAACAAATCCATTCGATTTTTAGATTAATTTTTCAATCTCTGCATTAAAAAGAAAGTATATGCAATTTTAAGAAAATATATTTTACAATATACAAAAAACTTTTTTTATGTAATTCAAAACAGTTAAATTTTTTGCTATAATGAAAAGTTTTTACTTATACTTACATAACGTCCTATAAAAACTACAAAGATAAGAAAAATAATATTTAGTCATATAGATTAATAATTGAAAAAGAACCATATCAATAATCGTTATGTTTTTTTCTAAATCATTAATAATTCGCAATTATTTTAAAATTAAATACACTAAAGGTAGGTGGTAACAACAGGAATCTCCTAACGATGACAAGCCGGAAATATATTGCGTCTAACGGATGGTATATGGTTTAACAAATATACGCAGTAAATGATTATTTTTAATAATTATTACTAGTTAATATTTTAATATTAAAAATAGAAAAAATAATATCTTTTTTTTTTTTTTGTTATTGGAACTATCTGATATTAATATCCGTTATATGTGGCATTAACTTATTTTATTCAACTGTATAATAATTAAATTAAATATTTTAAATTTAATTGCCCACGATAAAAATTTTAGTTTTAAATTTAGTGTTTTTCGAGAGCTTTGCAAAACTATTATATAATTATATGGCTTATTATAGCCTATTTGGCACTGATTAATCAGTTATTCTTCGTTTTCAACCTCGCTTTATCCCAACTACTTTATCAAACATGTTCTCTATATACTCTGTTTTACTACTACTAATTCTTCATCTCTTTCATGAGTTGATATCCACACATCTAGCCTTTAATTAATTTCCTCCCTGTTTTTCATATTAACGCTATATCGTCATCTAACAATACTACTGTACCTTTCTTTGTATTTTTTTAGTAAGTTTAACCATCGCTATAATAAATAAGTATGACAGATGAGTAAAAGGAGAGAAGATTGAATAGAGAATAAACACATGTGCAAAGAAGCCAAGTGTGCAGTACGTAAAGCGAAGTTTAAGAGGTATGATAGGCTAGGAACAAAGGAAGGCGAGAAAGAAATCTATAGACTAAAAGTAAGAGAGAAAAGGTCTAAAGATTATTATTATATAAGGTGTATAAAATGTGTTGATAATACGGTACTCTCGAGTGATGATGACGTGAAAAAAGGTGGAAAGAGTATTTTGAAAAATTACTGAATGAGGAGTACCCAAAAGAGACATTAGACGATATCTTGTGGAATAAGGGACTGGTAGATTTAATTAATGAGAAAGAGGTATGTAAAGCTGTGTCATCAATGAAAAAGAATAAAGCAGTAGGACTAGATGACATACCAGTAGAAATATTGAAAATATTAGGCGGTGTTAGCATAAGGTGGTTGAAGGAACTTTTAAATAAAATCTTATTAGAAGGGAAAATTCCAAATGAATGGTGGAAGAGTATTAAGGTGCTGATATTTAAAGGTAAAGGTGATATACAGTGTGGAAATTATAGAGGCATAAAGCTTATGAGTCATAATATGTAAATTTGGGAAAAGGTAATAAATAATAGAATAAGAAATGAGACATTGGTATCTAAAAAGCAGTTTGAATTTATGCCTGGTAAGTCAACAATGAACCCAGTATTTTTTGTGAGGCAACTAATAGAAAAATTTGGGAAAAAAAGAAAAAGCTTTGTATGGTATTTATAGATTTGAGAAAGAGTATGATAGAGTACCGAGAGAGGTTCTAAAGTGGGCATTAATGAGAAAAGGAGTCCCGAAAAGGTACATTAATATAATAGAGGATATGTATGATGGCACTTGTACTAGGGTAAAACGCGTAGGAGGAATAACAGAAGGTTTTCGGGTAAGAGTAGGAGTGCACTAATGTTCTGCTTTAAGCCCTTACTTATTCTCTATAGTGATGGATAAAATTACTAAAGAAATACAAGGAGAGGTGCCGTGGTGCATGTTGTTTGCTGACGATATAGCTATAACGATGTAGAAATCAGCTCTCGAAGAAAAGAATTTAAGAATAAGTAGAAGTAAGACAGAGTATATAGAGTACGAGTTTGACAAAAGAGAACACGAGGTAGGTGAAATGAGGAGATCAGTGACAATAGGCGAGGACGTGATTGGAGAGGTGGAAAGTTATAAGTATTTAGTTGTATAAAAGAGCGGTAGTATTGACGATGATGTAAGACACAGGATTAAGTGCGGGTGGTTGAAGTGGAGCGATGCGTCTGGCGTCTTATGCGGTAAAAGAATTCCAATGAGACTGAAAGGCAAATTCTACAAGACTTTAGTGAGACCAGCTATGATGTATGGTTCAGAGTGTTGGGCGGTTGATAAGAAAGTAGAGCAGAGAATGAATGTAGCAGAGATAAGAATGCTTGGATGAGTGGAGAGACTAGAAAAGATAGATTAAGGAACGAGCGTATAAGAGAGAGTATAGATGTAGCGTTAATCGTGGAAAAGATGAGAGAAAAAAGACTTAGATGGTTTGGTCATATTATGAGGAGAGAAGAATTGTAAGCTGTAAGAATAGTTATAGAAATGAATGTTGAAGGAAGAAGAGGTAGAGGAAGACTAAAAAAGAGATGGAGGGATGCTATTGAATGCGTTATGAGGACAGCTGATGTGAGCGTAGATGATGTGGGAGATTGTGTCAAGTGGAAGTTTAGGATAAGAGTAGCGAATCCCATGTAGTTGGGATTAAGGCGAAGAAGAAGAAGACGCTATAGTAATTAAGTAACATAACGATTATTTCTTATAAATTTCTCTAAAAATCGTGTTTCAATCTATCTTAGAGTCACCCATCAAAAAAAAAAATTGATTTTAAGTAATTTTTAACTAAAAATAAAAGTATGGTCTGAAAGGATAAAGACACAAAGTGGTTTAATGCCTAGTATTGAATAATAAACATTTAGAGAAAACTGAATATTATATGTTACTTAAATGCGCGTGTTGCGAAAGTTATTTATTTTTGTAGTGTAATATTATCTAAAAGGTTATTCCAAATTATTTTGAATTATTTTAATATTTTATAACTATGTTATTGACTGAATATGTTAATGTAGTCTAACTAACTCAGTAATTAGTATACTTAGTAATTAATACTAAAATTTCTGACCAAAGTATTTGAAGTTGATAAGAAAACTTATTTATAAAAAATAAAATGTTGCAGTACATTTCTTAATAGGTTATATTTTTAAAATTCATAATAACATTATTTTATTCGACCTAAGTGAAATTGCATAATTATTTTTTTTAAAAAGTAACTTTTTTTTTTGGGGGGGGGAATATGCCTAAAATTGTAAAATTCTCAAACTTATGAAGTTTCAAGGTTAGTTATACATCTTGCCAGAATTTTTTTCACCCGTGCCACGTCACTTTTTTTTGAGGTGGTTATGAAACCACCACCAATAGTTAGGTACGAAGTAAACTATCTGACTAAGACAATTTTTATGAATGCTCATTAATTATAATGTATTATAATGTTAACTAGTTGACAGTAAGTATTATTTAATTTGTATAGAATTACTCTAATTCATTCATGTTGATATAATAAAAGAAAACTGTACGTAGAAACATAAAACAAGTAGATAAATTTCCGCCAAATGTTAATTTCAGGGATATTTGAGTTCTTTATACCACGGTAGAATATAGAGAGTTAAAACCGTGCCGTAATATAATTTGCCGGTATGCGCTGCTGCTGTTACGGATATTCCAGCAGCCATTTTTTTTGTTTACGAGACGCTATCTCGTTTAATGTCTGAAGCGTCTTCTCATCATCTTAATTCGCTGTACTCGTTCCTATTTTTAGATCCGTACATTTTTTATTAAATAATATTTTATATAGTTATTTAGTTTTGTTTTCTTATTTAGGCGTTAGTGTTAATTTTTGTTAAGATAACCGCTAGACACAATGGCCGACAACCAACAGCAGAACGGCTCCCAACAATTTGAAACTACAGAAGGGCAACAGCAACAACATATAAATGGTTCGGCTGATAGTTCTAACTCGAATAATGATTCTGGACAGTTTGAATGTGTCAGGGACGATGACAGGTTGGAAGTTTAATTGTTTATTATTTATATTATGGTTAGCAATTGCTGTGTTGTTAATTTTATGCACGCGAATTGGGACCATTTCTTCTTCAATGTGGAATTAAAACCTATGCTTAACCCTGTCAAATTAATATTTATCTAATATCTTATGAAAATTTACAAGTCATTAAATCAAATAATCAAAAGATTAAGTTATTAGTTACTTTTCTCGGTAATTTTCAGATATATAAAAAGTATTAGGTTAGGATTTAGTGATTGAAATACATATCTCCCTACAATATGTCATTGTTTTATTTAAGTTACAATTTTTTGGCTTAACTTAATTTTTAACATAATTCTATTTGATGTATTTAATTTTCTATTAATGTATTAAATCTTGTTACAGAAAAATTTTTGTTGGCGGATTAAAAGGAGAGACCACAGAAAGTAAGATTTTAGTCCTCAACAATTAATATCAAACATTGAGTTATTAGTATATTAAATATTTGCATTGATCCTTTAGAAGATTTAAGTGAGCATTTCAGTCAATTTGGTGAGATTGAAAATATAAATGTTAAAGTCGATGCTGCTACAGGCCGAGCAAGGGGCTTTGCTTTCATTGTATATAAGACTATGGAAGGCTTAGAAAATGTTAGTATTAATATATTATAAGTTATAATTATTAATATATTTTTTTAGCTAAATTGCATATTAATTATAAATTATTTTTTTTAAAACTAGTAACCATGACTGAATATCATTATTCTCTTACATATTAATTAGTAGTCTATTTTTTGTGTTAAACATGTTTTATATTTTATTTAAGTTGGGTTATACAAGATGTGACTGTAAAAAAATGAAAAAATAACCTATAATAAAAGTAGCCAATTTTACTGAAATAGCAGTGAATTGAAAAAATGGTAAATTAAACTATTTTGTTTTTAAAGAGAACCTTTTTTTTTTTTTTTGCTATAGTTTAATTTCATGGATTTTTTTATATTTGAAGTATTGATTTTAGGGATTAAATACTTATTACAAATAAAAATATATTATAAATGATTAGTTGGATTATTGGACTATCTTAACCAATAAAATTTTATTTTGTGATACTAAAGTTACTCCCTTTTATAAACAATTTATTTAAGTTGTAAGTGACTTATTGGGATTTGTATTTAGTGAATTTTAAATAAAATTTTTAGACAAGAAAAAATGTTTTAAAAAACACTTAATAAATTTAATTAAATTCAAAATTAAACACAAGTTTTATTCACAATTTACATGTATTTATACAAATTTTTTTTAGGCTTTAGCATGTACTAATCATGTAATTAATGATAAAAAAATTGACCCTAAAAAAGCGAAGGCGCGGCATGTCAAGTTATTTGTTGGAGGATTATCACCTGACTTAACTGATGATGATATTAAAGATTATTTTAAACGTTATGCTCCATTAGTAAATGCTGAAATGCCATATGATAAAGTTAAGAATCAACGGAAAGGGTTTTGTTTTGTAACTTTTGATTGCATGCAAGCCGTAACTGAAATTTTAAAAACTCCTAAGCATGTGATTAATGGAAAACAAGTTAGTATTAATTTTTAAATGAAAAAAAATTATCATTATCAATAAATTTTTAATTTAACTTAGGTGGATGTCAAAAAAGCAGCCCTTAAAGTTGAACCATATGGTATGATGCCTGGTGGTTCTGGACCAATGAGAGGAATGAGAGGAAATGTTCGAGGTCGTGGTGGTAGAGGAGGTAAACATATTGCAACAAAAATTATTACTGTAACCTAAAATTTAACTTTTTATTTTAGGATTCTTACCCCAGTCAGGTTATGCACCAGGTGCACCTGGATATGGTTTTGGAGGTAAATAATAAATATTTTTAAATTTAAAATATAATATATATTTATATGTATTGTTTTAGGCTATGATTATTATAATCAATATTCTGGCTATAGTCCAGATTATAGTTATAGTTATGGTTATCCTAGCTATGGTGCTGGTGCTGGAGCAGGTATATATTGAATTATTAAAAAAGAAAAAGAAATTTGATATTTTCATCTTGATAATTACAAATAATTATAATAAAATATACTAATTTTACTTTCATGATAGTTATTATTCAATATATTTTTATTATTTATAGATTATCAATTTGGAGGTTATGAACCACCAGCACCACGTGGAGTACATGGAAATCGTGGAGGAAAAGGTAAACCATAACCTTTGATTTGATTGCATTCCCAAAATTGTTGAACATAGTGTAAAATAAAAGTATTATTTTTTTGCTTTTTGAATTAATAATTTTATTTTGACATTCAATTTTTGTTAGTTGTATGTTATGAAAAATTATATTTCATAATTTATCTGCTCCCTGTAATTATTTATTTCACATTCTAATTATATCTTAGTTGTTTATTATTATACATTTGATTCTTATTTTTTTTTTTTCTAATGATGTAGTTTGTAGTTATTACTGAGAGAAAATGGTTGTTTTTTATTAAAAAAATAAATCATTTAACTAACAAAATCAGTTTGTTTATACGCATATTGTGATGTTGATATTCCTTTAAATTTTTTTAATTTTGAGACCGTTTTTTTAATTTATTAAATTTTTCTTTCTATGTAGAAAGACTATTTCTTAAAATATATAAAAAGTTTGAAATCAAAAAATGAATGACGGAAGTGTTACAAAATATGTTTATTAATAAAGTATTTTTGAAAAAGATTTTTTTTTCAATATATAACTAAAAAATATTTTTTTTTAAAGAAAGGAAAGTAATTCTACAGAATATTTCTTTTTTATATATAGCAAAGCATCTTAACTAGTGAAATCGTTAGCCAAATCAATTAATGTTAAAATGGTAACATCAAATTAATTAACATTTATAATGATAACATTAAATTTTATGATTTCTTTTTATGAGATTTTATAGATTAATGGGAAATTTGAGGTTTTTCCTTTCAGTCTCATATTTGCGGCATTCCAGTATAATAAAGACTGAGTTTTTAGTTCTATGTATAATAAGTCTTGAGGTTTTTAGATTAGATGATTATATGTGACCCAGGTGTGTCAGATATTTAAGCAAGTAAGTTAACATTGTCTTTTTTGCTGCTATTTATTATTTGGATAGACCACTTTTTTGTTGTCAGTTTTATTTCTCCTGGTTTAATATCCCTTCGCGGGTTCCATTCGTCCATTATATTTATAATACTATTCTTGCTATAGGTTTATTAGGTATTCTAAAGTAATGTCGTATTCTGTTTCTTAGGCTACAACATCAATATTTTTGTTGTTTGTTATCCAGCTTTAGCTTATCTTTTTGTTCTTGATATAAGTTTTTAATTCTGTTGAAATTTTCATTATTATTACCAAATCTATTATTTTTTTAATGGAAGCTTCACATTATGATTCCATCAAAGTACAGGTGTTTTATCTCTGTATGATATCTTATTAATTGTCTTTTCTACAGCATATGTAATTAGGCTTTCTATTGTCATTAATAATATCTTTGTTTTTTATTGTATATTTTATTTGTGATGATTTTGTCAATATTTTAACTAATCGGTTTGATGTATAGTTTTCAGTTAAGATTTTTTAGGTTTAGGATTTTGAAAAAATATTGAATACGATTTGTTGTGTTTCAGTATTTAAGTTTAAATAAAGTAGTCTTATAATTTCTGATACAAAAATTTGTATGTTAGACCATTCGAGATTTATTGCAAGAGATTTGGATACTAGAGTTAGGTCAATGGCTGATGTTTTACCTATAGATATTGTGAAGTAATTTGGTTTACCATTATTTAATAGTATTACATGTTGGTTTCATCTATGATATTTTAAAAAAAAGTTTTGTCTAGCATCAAAAAATATTGTGACTGTTTACATTGTAAATATAAAGGGAGTTAAATATATTGTACTAGAAGTATTTGCGTTTGGTTAAAAAGTATAAGTTATAATTAGTTATATTTTCTTTAACTTTGAGTGTGATTGTTTAATTTTTTAGGTAAATGTTATTTATTGTCTATATATTGCTACTCCTTTGCGGGCATTGTTATGCTGTTATGATTTTTTTTTTTGAAGCTAGATATAATACCTTTTAAATATGCTAGTAGGAAAATTTTTTTTCTTTAAGTATATAAGTATTATAGTTTTTTCTTGTTTATTAAAATTTTTAATTTTTTGTCTTTTAGAAATTATTTATATTCCACTGTAAAATGTTAACTACTAAGGAGGTGCCTATATAAGTTTATGTATTCAATAATAATTTTTTCAAGTTAAAAGATATTTATATTTGTTTTTACTGTGATAATACACCCAGGTGGATAATCTATGTATTGATATTCTACTATCAATTGTTTATTAGTGCGAGTTGTTTGTCTATATTGTCTAAGAAATTTTCAATGGCCTCTGTTCTTTTGATTTTTTTGTGCGTATTGTGGCTTCCTGAATTTTTTTTATTGTTTGATTTTGTGGATGTTGATTATCAAAGATTCTTTTTTTTTTCTTCCCACGACTGGCATAAGTGTGGACCGGCCTGGAACTACCGTGAGGTATTACTTCAAGGCGGAATAGCAAAGAACTGACTTTATGGGAGTGTTTATAAGTGGAGAACTATTAAAGACTAGTGTTTCTCAAAAAGCTGTGGGTAACTGTTATTTATAAATCAGTCATTGGTTCTCTTCAATGTCTTTTATTTAGACAAAAGATGTATAGTTTATTGAAATTGTTTCCGCATTTTTTGGTTGTTTAGTTGAGGGGCAAAATTGGGATGAATGCCCAATTTTTCTACAGAATTATTTAATATAAAACTTGTTAATATTTTTATGTACTTTGTGACTAAATATTTTTCTAAAAAATCCTATGTATTTCAAATGGTATTGAACTATTACATGTTTTGTAAAAAAAAAACAAAAATTAACAAAATTTTACAATGGTATTAAAGTATAACTTTTGAAACGCTTGATAAATTATGTACTTAGGTTCATTGGTACATGAAAAAATGACTGACTTGCTTACTTTGAGCCAACAATTCAATATCAATATAAAATATAAAAATTCGGTCTCTGATTATGTTGATAATAGTTACTATGTACTATAATTTCAAAAATATACTATGATTTTAAATTTATTTTAATATGGAGATAATGAATTGAACATCAGAATATGCTATTAAATTTGGTATTTAAATAATAGATTCTTTTAAACGTTAGAATTGATTATTTATGTTCACTATTCAACAAAAATACTTAAAAAACATTCATATTATATATTATTTTTTTCAATGTTTCTCAAAATTGAATAACCTTATTTTACTCAATTAAACAATTATATACCAGTATTTTCGTTATTGTGTTTCAACATCTTGTACATTTTTTGGTAAGTTGTAATGATTATCTACTGGTTTAAAGGTAAAAGATAGGCAAGTGTAATCCTGGATATTGGTCATATTTACGATAGATATACTTAAATTTAATAGACATGATTAAAGGTGTAAAATTTATTAGTAGTATAGTTTTAACATATTCATATTATTATTTTTTAATTAATTTAACAGTACTGGATTAAAATTAATTTATCCAATTATACTTGAATGTAGTATACCAAAATATTTTCAGGATGTTTTTTTAATATTTAAAATAATAAGGATTTGTTTCTGTTGTATAACAATTATTTTAACTTGCCTCAAATTAAATTAATTTAATCACTTTAATTTCTGAAAATTAATTGAGTATTACAAAATTACTAACTTAACATTTTAGAGTAACATTAATATATAATGTCCACTATAATTTATACAAACAATAAATGATTGGATGTACATAATACTCTGTTGGGGTATACTTAAAAATAATATTATTAATTGATATTGTACATATTAATTTTTGTTAATTATAATAAAATTATGGTTATTGGATTTCACTAGATTTTCCTCAAAGAAAACCAGTCAAGACATCAGCTTAAACGTCTATTGCTGAGCCAAATACAGTCATCGTAAGCCATACTGTTTATGTTAACAGTATTGTTGATTTCGTTTTGCTTATGTACAATAATATATAAATAAAAGTTGAATAAAAAATTTATAAAATTGGATCCTTTGGCCTAAGTGTAAAATAACTACTTGGACTAATGTCTATCAGGGTCTAACATATTACAATATGTATGTATTGTATGTACATAATAGAATGCCTACAATTTTCAATGTATATCTTTTTTTTTTTTTTGTGTAATTTTTTAATTTATTTATATTTTGTACTTTTTTTAATACAAAATAAGTCCATAGATTTATGTTTTCGATAGGGTGTGCACAACATTTTCCTTCCTTATACTTTATTAGGGCAGTTAAAACTCAATTTATATGTGTATGTATGTATAATTGGGTGTTTATAAAGGAGGTTAAGTTAACATTAGAATTTTATGGTGTTTCAATTTTCGGCAGGATTTAATTAACCTATATAATCTAAAAATAAAATTTCAATTGTGTAATTATTAAAGTTAATATCTCCATGAATTTTTAATTATTCAAAAAAATTGCAGTCATTAAACTTACAATAAATAAAACTTATACACTAATATAAGATTGTTGCGTTCACTGTTTTAAACCTTTTATTGTGTTTTTGCACAATGCTCCAATTGGAAAAATATAATCCTATCAAGGAACATAAAGAATAATAATTTTTTACAAGTCTACAGTTCTCTATTAACCATTCAAATACCCCTTTTAAATTTTTTTACATTGCAATCTTAAACTTTAAGAGGGATAATTGCTCTAATGATTTAATACAATTTTTTAATTATTTTACTTGGAGTTTACAAACAAAATTTCCAAAAGAGCTTTGATGTAAGTAAACCAATTATGTCTCCTTATATTATGTAGAAAAAGTAAATTTTTCATACTGTAAATATGTCTTAAGTTGGCCACTTTAAACTTCGACTGGACAGGGTTTTTTATTTTGTTTAAACTAAGCACTTTCTGGGAAAAATAAATAAATTTAAATGAATAATACGATTACTTGTTAAAGTAAAAAAAATTATCTATAGTATAATTATATTTAATAAGATTGTGACTATTAGTTTCGACTAAAAATCATTATTTAGTTACTGTACAAAAATAATCGTTCATATGAACAAAATGATAAAAATAAATAAACAAGTGGTTTATTATTTATTATAAGAGCCGGTATTAGGTTTTTTAGGAGGAAATGATGAGAATTTCTTAAGATTGCCCCTCCTAAACGAAACCCTTAATACGCCAATGCTATGCGTGTGGTAAGCGGCGCTTGTGTCCTGGGCTTTTTCTTATAATAAGAAAGAAAGAATAATGTAATAAGGGTATACATAGGCGCAATTTGAATAAAATTTTTAGGGAAACTTACTTAATTTTTATATATAAATTTACTTGTAATTTTCATAGTTTTTAGGAGCGCTGCAACAGATTTATGAGAAGCTAAGCCACCCAGATTGCGCCTATATTAATATGATAAGTATATTGAAATTTATGAAGGAGACGTCTTAGTACTTGATTTTGTGTATTAAATCATCTCTCGAGAGATCAAAGACTCTTGAGAACTTGTTGGTCGTATAAAAATAATTAATGTATCAAATCAACATCTGATAAAACAATTTTTAAAAACGTTAAAGACCTTAGAAAATATGTCAAATATTCGCTTTTTTGAACACATAACATTTTTCATAGATTTATCTAAAATCGCTCAAGTAAAAATGTAGATAATATTGTCTGTTTAATTTGATAAATCTATCATTTCAATAAAATTACCCAGTTTTACAGAATCTGATTTCCCGAAACATATTTTCTACTATTTTTCAATTATTTACTTGTTATTGTGACGCAACCATCAGTATATCTTAAAAAACAATTGCAAAGATTCTATAAAAATTAGAATATTTAAAATCCAATATTTTTTATTTCTGAGAATTTTTAAATTTGGATAGTCGGACCCTTCTTAATATAAGCATAGATAGATGTCTTGATATAGGTATAGGAATTTGTTTTTGTTCGATATAAATATTTTGAACCTAATGACAATTTTTAAATTGCCTCTATGCGAATGGGTGGTTGATCCAGTATCTTTTACGGTAGATGTTATTTTACAAATATTGTTCTTCAGCTAGCTATTATCCAAGCTGCCCCCGAATTAAGTAGGAAAAGGTAGAACACAAAATGGGGATTATAGATAAAGGTTAAATAACAAGTAATTAATAAGTTAAATTAAATTTTAAACATTATTTAATAAAATTTATTTTTTATTAATACATAAGACATACATGATGTACATCATTAAACAATTTAAAAATTATTAACAACGCTATAATCAACATACATAATTTTATTATAAACTTAATGTTAGATAAATGATATTTTGATAATTACACAATTATTTTTATGTCTCCTCCATGGGCGCCCGCAGGAAATTTATCAGGGGGGAGGGCAAAAAAATTAAATACCAAAAAGTAACATTAAATAAAGTGTTTATTAACTGAAAATTGCAAAATATATATATATATATATATTCATGAGTCATTACTAAATAAAAATTTTCAGATTATACAAAATTAAATCAGATTGGTTGTAATTTTTAAAAATGTATTTCCAAAATCCAGAGGGGTGTAAACACCCCCTCTTGACACCTGCGGGCGCCCATGGTCTCCACCCTTGAAGTTCATAACACGACAACTTAATATTTATTGAAAATGATACATTAGAAAAATTATAAGCAAGACAAATAGATTATTAGAAATATATGTATAAATTTCTATTTTAATTAAAAAAATTGTCCCTCTCTCTTCTCGAAAAATTTGTTTATATTCACAACTATTACACCACTAATATTAACCAATAAACCTTATATATAACACCCCTCTTACTAGAATATTTATACCTTTGTCTTCGATATTATTAACTATTTGGAATTAGCTTAAAAATAAACACATTTAAAATACAAATACCTTTCTAAGCTGACTCGTCTACCTCAAATAATACTTCTGATTTTTTAAATTCTGTTAGCGATAATTGCTGCAGAATCTATTTTTATTGACAAAAAGTAAAATTAAGATAAAATATTTGTATGTTTCGGGTTAGTTATTTTGCAAGTGACACAAAAAAATCCCAGGAGGTATAATGGAACCTCCTGCCCCTGGCACCATCCCATGTAGTATATGTTTTAGATTTAAAAAGATCAGTTGCGTCACTGATTCAGGAACTATATATTGTGCATTTATTAAATTAATTAAGATGTTAAAAATATCATGGTTATTATAAAAGCAGAATTTGAAGTAAAATTTGCTGAGATATTAAATTTAATTGAGCTACACTTACGTGGATATTGAGGAGAGCAAAAAATAAAAAATAAAATGTTATACAATAAAAAGAAATTTTACTCTATTTATTAGAGGCTATAATGGAGGTTGGAGAGCTTAGCCTCTCTAAATTCTAATTCTGGGTACTATTCGTAAATAGTTTAAAAGTGAATTGACGCGTAGGGGGATGGTCACAGACATTGTAGGTTGCTGCATGCGGATGGGTAAGAAATGTTGACAACGACCTTGCGGGTTCAAGGTCAATATTTATTAATGCGTACGCGTACCAAATTCGGCTAACGCACAAAGGTCAAATCGCATGCGACTGCTAAGTATACATTTTTTAAAGTGTACTCATTATTAGATTGACTTACGTAGAGCCACAGTGAAAATTATAAAATGGAATAAACAAAAATTATGAAAATTACCGTCAACATTGTGTAATCTAAAGTGATGCGCCAGTCACAATCTCCAGATGGCGTTACAATACACGTTGTTTGTAGTTTATTCTACGACGGCGCCGCGTGTTGAGTGTGCCCTCACCGCAGCAAACCCAGACGACCTTCATCTTCATTCCCGTTCACCCCGAACCCGCTGTGGAATCATATTACTCATACTTGCCGCCGCATTGAGCGTTCGTGCAACACTCTATGCGTCGCCGTCGTCGTGGTAGTGTGTCGTCGATTGTGCATTGAATTACTCTCAATGATTCTTTAAATTTACTCGCATTTTTCCATGTTAATATCGTTATTTTTAACAGTGTTAGTGTAGTGGAACTTAATTTTTGGTCTAGTGTTTTGGTGATTAATAACTCTTTCCGAATGAATACAATAGTATTATTTTGTATGCATTCTGAATGTCGATTATCAACTAATGGATACTGTTGGAAATGCATTTTACTGGTAAATCAAAATTAATATTTTTAATTTGCGTGTATGAGTATAGTACTCAATCATTTTTTAATTCAATCTATTCACCATAAGTATTGTTTGAAGTACACGTTTTATGTAGATATTATTTTTTATTTTGATTGTAATTTTATAATTTATTCACGATTTGCATATAGAAATACACATTGTAAGAATGGACACACGAGGTGGTAATAACAACGAGTAGGGTACGTGTGGGGGTAGAGGGGGACCCATAACGGACGTGGCTAACAGAGATGCCGGTTGACGGCCTCTAGCTGCGGATGTTTTGTAACGGTATCGTGCCATTCTTTGTGAACTCTAGCGTACCCCTGCCGCCATCGCCACCGCTTGTCCGTTTCTACTGCCTCTTCCCCGTCACCACAACCGCTGCCGCGTCCGCCGCCACCCTATTCCTGGATTTCAGACCGTTGACCTTGAACGCATGAACGTCGCTCGTGTACTCCGTCCTTTTAAGGGCCACGTAACGTTATTTCATACACAACCTCTTTCCAGAATCTTTGTTGTTCCTGGTCGGTCATCCAGAGCAATTTTGCAAAACCATTTTGTTCTATAACTTATAATTTTTTTCTATTTTTATGTAACAAGGGTGTTTGTAAAACGTTTATGATCATGAAGTAAATAAATTATAAAATTTACTGTAAACGATTGTGGAACGGTAAAGTCAATGGCCGACAAGCGCCGCCCCGCGGTCTCGGCCATCCTTTCCTAGACCATGTTGATCTACGGTCAAGGTCACTATTTTGCAGCAGATAATTATATTCTTATTTTTCCTTTATTATGTTCCTTATCTCCACTGAACCTAAAATAATATTAATAAACATAAATTGTCGTTCATCACTGTAAATATGCAGTTCTACGATATGTGCTCATGATGGTTTTAGACTGTCCTACTTGTTTGATGGTGCTCAACATTTGAAAAAAATCATTGTAATAATTGTTTTTCTATCGTTATGACATCCTATGAAGGGAATAGAGACAACAGTGTGGGTGTTTTTTAATGATAATTATATTGTTGTTACTACGCATTAAAAAAGAGATGATAGTTCTATTGTATTATGTTATCTGTAACCTTAGGTTTCGATTTTATTAAACAATTATTTTTCTTCTCTAGATTGTTATTTAAATTTCGTCATATTTATACAAAAACTAAAATGCATTATGACTAGTTTGCCGGTGTTAGTAAATGTTCTCTTGTTTGTATTAAATTATCGTAAACATGCTGACCTTCTGTCGACCATTGATAGTATGGCTAATATGAAAAGTATACTTTTATACATTACAGAGCATATTTTAAGGAATTTCGACCGAGTAGCACACTATAGAAGCACATTTACGAAGTGTTTACGGGTTAAGCTTCGTCAGAAACAGGCATATATCTTGGATTTTTTTTTTGAGAGATGGGGCTGTCTAAACAAATATTTTTCCTCTCCATGTAATATTAAGTTTAGCCTCATTTATAAGGATTTTCAGAGGGAAAAGTCCACACCCAATGGACTCTGCCTACACAACAACTAATAAAATTACATGGTTTATAAACTACGTGAAGAGGCAAAGAAAATTTTCTTTTTAAGATATTCTCCAAGAAAAAATTCTAAATACTTCATTATTACTAATAATTTAGCTAAATCAGTATCACATTTAGCGGAAAAGTTGACTAATTATTATTTTTATATTTTTTTGGTTCAATATTTTTTGTTATTTAGAAATTAACGTTTAAAAAAAAAAAAAAAAAAAAAAGTTAAAAGAAATCCCTTTTATAATACTTACGTTAAACGAAGTGCCATGAAAGAGACTTATAAAGGCACTAATCAATTTTATTTAAGTAGTAAATAAGGCACAACTATTAACTATTATAATTATTAACCACGAGATGGTAGTAATTTTTCACTAAGCGGCACTTTGCCACCTATTTTATACGTTAAAATATGCTTTGGATCATTAAGTTATTTATAACTGTTGACTTGTTCAGCTGGTTAAGTTATATTTATTAACAAATAGTAACATAACTTCAAATCTTTTTAGTGTATAAAATATATGCTATGTATCAGACCCTAATCTAAAATATTATACCCTCTTAATAAATCAAGATATTTCAAAATAAAAAAATAGTTTCAATGTTACAGTTATAATATCGTTTTTTAACTTTCTAAATTCATCTTAAACTTCTTTCATTTATTTTCAAGATCTAGAAGTTTCTTTGGAAAACGTTTAATTGTCTTTAAGCATTAAAATTATAATCTTAAAGATTATAAATTTAAGATGACGCTTGTAGTGTATTCCAAGGTAATCTATTTATTTGAAGTATCCTGTTAAGACTTCAATTATTAATATCAACCAGTCATTCTATAATTTGAGCCCTTTGTTTACAATTTCATATTTTAAAGTAGTGTTATATTAATTGTTTATTTATATCATATATATATTTATTATAAATATATATATATATTTATATCATGTATTATAATTATAAATATAAATTTTTATAATTAAATCATTGAACTTAAAACTAATCTCTCTTCATTATAATTTTTTTAATTTAGTGACAATATTTCACATAGACAATTAAGTTTATTTTTAAGTATCAAGCCCGTCGTTGAACAATTATAACAGGCCAGAAAATATATAGAAAATTATATATCAAATATATTCCTTTTTTAGTTATTAAAAATGAATAAACATTGTATAGAAGCAGCCACTTAAATAAGTAATAAATTTGTAAAAAAATTGTTTAATTACACAGTAAGAAAACTTTTAAATTTGTATTACAAAAGTTTAAAAGATGAAAAATTGGCTTTAATTTTTCTATATTAATGATAAGATATTTCTTTTATTTTGGAATAATATATTTTTTTTTCATCTGTTCAAGTTAATTTTGCCCGTAACTTTTTTTGACATTTTTTTTATTGATAAGTTTATGTAATTCAATTTTATTGATTGATTAATATGTGATCAGAAAAAGATTAACAACGTCATATCTTGATCTAATTTCAAATAAAACTTTATTTAAGTTAATTCTTACAAGAAAATTTGCTTACCATAATATTGTCATAAAACAGATTTTTACTCATAATAGTTAGATTGTGAACAGAATAAGACGTTAGTCTTTATTTTCGTTTAAGACGAATAAAACAATTTTAATATTTTTTAGGGATTAACCAAATGTCTGTATCTTCTGCGATAAAACATCAATTATGGCCTTGGTAATTAGACATCAAATTTAGTTTTATTATTTAAAAGTCAATGACACTATAGCATCAGGAATACACTTTTGATTATAATAGTTAGAATGGAAACTATTATTGTACGTATTAATGTTCTTGCTTATAAAATATGCGTTAACAGATTCAAGTTAGCAAAATATTTGAATCTTTTTACAAAGAATAAATGTATGCCACAGAGAGTATAACTGCCCTCGTTAGCAATTTGCGACCACTATTTCTGACAGGTATCAAAGTTATAGAGTTAACTAAAAACCTCAACGGGCCTCTTAGCAGTATTTAAAAATCCATGAAAACAACGCATATCGTCTATCTTCGATCATTAAAATTAATCATTATTTGTTTGTTTGTTATCAAATATATATTTGGTTATATTATTGTGCTTGAAATTATATTTTAATTTTATTTAATCCTCTAAGATCATGTATCAGACTACTGTGTTGGAGTCATAATAATTGATTAGGTCTTATAGAAAGTCTTTATTTTTGTTTTAATAAGTTGCAAACATTTTATTTTTGAACTGTCGTTTGAGACATAATAAAAGTCCAAATGTATAAAAAATTAAATAACGTTAAATTTTTTTGTTAGGAATAATTATGTTGATAAATTGCTGTAAAGGAAACATGTTTCCTGGATATTTTATGGATTATTCCAAAATGTTGTATATGATATTTCTCAGATGATCGTTTCAATTTTATTTGTGTTCTAGATACAATTCTTCACGCCTTTTAATGAAATATATTTCGTGTGTTCATTATTATACCGCCATTTATTTAAAATCCAATACTCTTATAAACATAAATTGATATACTCAATTTTTAGAAATTATGGTGCATTTAACTAATAATAATTTTATTGTGTTATTTGTTTTAATATTTACGATTATTACAAAACTACTTATCAATGGAATCCTTTGCAAATAGATAATTTACATATGACCTTAATAATTTATTGTAATTGAAACGTACCCCTTATTGTCACCTAGTATTGCCTAATAATTTAATTTTTTTATTAATTATTTTCACCGTATTTACAATAATTTTTATCTTTAGTTAACGTCTTAACAAGCATCGTACACTTGGATATTATTTACTATAATTCCTATTCTTGAATTATTCTCTTTTTATTTCATATAAACTAATGCATAAAACATTTGACTGAAATTATTAAATAATTTTGTCGTGCATAAGATTTTATTCTTGTCAACTCTAGGTTAATATTAATAAATCTTCTATGTAAGATTGATTTTACTTTTTCATGTTTTAGACGTTCACATCTATTTCTCTAAATATTTATAGGTTTTTGGTTATTTATGAGGCTCATTTTAAAAATATAGGATTAAATAATAACACGATATTAGGAGCCGTCGTTTACGCACAAGAGTGTACTTAAAAAGAGTGTATCCTTTCGTTTTGCTAAATTAAAAAACAAAAAATTGAAATAATAGTTTATGTGTTAAACTATGGGCGCCTACCGACGCTTTGTATATAATATCTTATGTTATTTTGCCACGAGGAGGCTCATCAAAGGGAGCAGGACACCACAGTATTATATTACTAAAATAAAGAATATAAATGGTTTTACGTGTGAACGCGCATGCGTTTGGGCCTGACCTTGGCAAGGTTGAATTTTGAGAGTCCGACGAACCGCGTGGCAACGTCGCCTCCTCATTGCACAAACTAATACACACATATATGCATTGTAGCGTCCACAAGTTTAACCACGTCTGCCATCACTGATACTGTCGCCGACGTCCTTTCGATTTATAAAAATAAACAACCTCGACGGCTGTACGTCGCGTTGCTGCATGTCATTTTGGTTGGGTCGTCACTGAAATTTTATATATATATTTTTATTAAAACCATAATTATCATACTCTGCCGAAAGACGACGCTTTTTATCGACCATTACATAAACGTTATTCGCATTTCATGCTGTGATAATATTCTTTATAAGAATAGTAATGCAAACTATATAAGTTGTAAAAAAACTTAACTGACGATTATATGTAGAAACCGTTGTCCCTAGGGACTTTCTGAAGTAGCACATACCCTATTTAGTTCCAGATTATACCTATTAGGGGCTAAATATTTTAATGGGTCCAAAAAAAATTTTTTTTTATAAAATAATGTTTTTTTAATTACAACATGTGTCTAGTAACAAATAATTAATATTAATTATTAATTTAATAACAAATATAAACTGCTGGCGATAAAAAAATGTGTAATATAACTTTGAATTTTTTAAAGTTATTTTTTACCAATTGGGCGGAATACAAGACTAGGTTTTTTTTTTGAACACCTCTATTTTTCGGGAGCCATAGCCCTCCTTAGTCCGGATCGTATTGCGATCCAAAATTAACTAATTGTATTGTTTTTAATTCATAAACATGATAATTTCCTTAATTATTTAGCTATTTTGGTTTAAAAATCCTACTATTAGAATAACATCATGTGTCATTTGTATTACTCATAGTATGTGTAACACATAAGTTACGACTTACGCTGTTGCGATCAAGGCTTTGTGTCGATTACTCGTTTATTATAAAATGGTTAATAGAACAAAATATCATGTTGCACAATTTCTTCTACTGCATAAATTATTATTTAATCTCGGTCAATTTTGTTATTTTACTATTTATACTGTTTGGGTTTTACCATTTTTTGAAAATTTTGCATTATAATTACGCATCAATAATTTGGAAAGGTCATGAAAACTTACATTTCACATGATTAGTAGTAGGTGTCAAACGTAATATAAGAAATAAAAAGTGTTGGTAGAGGATACTAATTCAATAAAAAACCACTCCGATAAATTTTTTCAGTAGTGATTGTTATTTTTACTACTACCTTTTTAAAATATAAAACAAATATTATTTCATTTAATCGGCACTCGCCTTAAAATCAATTATAAATAATGCAACCAAGACATCAATAATTCTTCGCGTAACCACCGCTCTAGTCGTATTGGCCATTTCACTCGACTGTCAAGACTCGGGTCATACAACCGGTTTTGTTATCCAGTTGGTTCACCGTGCAACACGAATGGGTTAAAACTATTTAGTTAAGCGTAGTGGCCATTTTTTAACATTAGCTGCAAATTGAAAATTAATTCAAATATATTGACTTGCTTCATATTTTTTAAAACTCGATATCTTATAAATATTTTTAATTTGTTTAGAGATAAATAAAAAAAATATGGCGACTTGTATGGAATTAAAACGAACGATCATGGGAATTTATGTATGGTCTCTAGATGCTATTTTACATCTCACTTAATCGTAATCGCAGTCAATATTCAACCATCAAGCATTCCAGCTTAGAAATTTTGACTTTAAAAATGATTATTAATTATGATATGTGATGGCTAATAGTGAAACCAGAATGTGGGGCCACAGTGTAGTATCTTCTGGTCCAGTCACAGTAACATCAATAAATTTGATTGCGCCTCATTTGCCAAATACGCAAATTACAACAATTAAAGGTAATTGATATAAATTCGATTATTAGTACTGTAAAAATTGACGAATTTTATTTACTTAATTTTAACAGAAGAACCACATGACCGTACTGATGGAATGGTGAATGATAAAAAAGACTATTCCTTAGATGATATTGGTTCAGAATGTGATAGAGAAGTAAGTAAAATAGATTTCTCTGGTGTAACTATGAGGAGCAAAAAAATGAGAGCTGTTGAAGACAATATGCCCCGTCCTATGTCATGGGAAGGAGAACTCTCAGATTTAGATGTAAAGCAGGTAAAATTATTTATTTTTTCCCAGCTGTTATAATTTGATAATTTTCAAAAACAGTTTAACATAACTCATTATTTTATTTTATTTTTTTCCAGGACGATGATGATGATGATGCCAACATGGATGTCCAAGCAGTAAATCAAAATTATTTATCACCTAAACAAGAGTCATTAAATAATCATGGTTCCCGTGGGAAACTAATAGGCTACAATGAAAAAAATTTGGTAAATGCTGTGTTATATTTTTAATTTATTATGAAAAATGTGGATTTCTAAATAAAATTTATGACAATTTTATTTAGGTGGATAGAGTTATGGAACATGTAAAAAGTAAAGTTAATTCATCTAGTTCGGAAATTCCTCTGCTAGTCGATCAGTTATTAGGTGGAGAATACAGTCCACTATTGCAGCATAAGACTAATAGTATAAAACAGCCATCACATATTCCACCAACACAAAGTCCAGATTCGGCTATACACTCATGTTGTTCACCCGTACAATCTCCTATTACCTCTAGACATAATCCACCATCATCTTCAGGATTTTCATCTCCATCTACATTTACTCCATCCTCATTATCAAGAAATAATAGTGATGCTTCACAATATGGTGGATCCCAACATAGCTCTTGTTATAGTCAAAGGTATTTAAATATTATATAATATTATTTTTCATTGTATTGAAAAAAAAAAATTGATACCTGATATATTAAATTTATTTTCAACAGTTATTCTTCAGTATCTGTATCACCAACACAATTTTCACCTTCTCAGTCTCCCATTCAACCCAGACATATACAAAGGAATTTTCATGAGTATCCAGTAACAGAAGAAACTAATGGATTTGAAGAAAAGATGACATTATCTGATATTGGACAACAACATAGTATTACTTCTGGGATTTCTAGACAACAACTAATTAATAGGTAGATTTTGATAAATATATAGTGTTATTAGTGAAACTTTTATAATTATTTTTTCAAATTTTTATAATAAAGAAATTAGGATTTATAAGTAAAAAATATATACTAATATATATTCATACTTTTAAATTTTCATATTTTTAATAAAAGTAAATTAATTAATTAAATATGTTATTGAAGTAAAAATTACTAAAAGCAAACATCACTACTGTCACTTCAAGAACTTAACCATTAACATTTCTTTTATAATTTGTGTAATATATCTTCTTTCAATTTTAAAAATGTTTCCATTTATAATTGTAATGACATTTCGTTCATAGTTATATGTACTTTAAATTGCAGTTTTTGATTTATCTTATTTGAACAATCTATTGCTTTGTTGTTATATTATATATGCTTGTAGTGATGGCCACAATATGTAATTTGTTGATTTTTTAATTGCTCTATAAAATATGTTTACTAGTAAACTGATAAATAAATAAATATTTTGTTTATAATTTATTAGCCCTTGTCCAATCTGTGGTGATAAGATATCTGGATTCCATTATGGAATATTTTCATGTGAAAGTTGTAAAGGATTTTTCAAGCGTACAGTCCAAAATCATAAGAATTATGTATGTCTGCATGGTTCTGCTTGTTTAATTACTATAGCCACTCGCAAAAAGTGCCCAGCATGTCGTTTTGATAAATGTTTGAATATGGGTATGAAACTTGAGGCTATCAGAGTAGATAGAACGCGTGGTGGAAGAAGTACTTACCCATTTACATATACTATACCACAATCCAATATTCAATCACAACATGGAAATCAACATTCTGGAACAGTTAATAACACAATAGATAATAAAGCTAAACAAGAAGATCAAGTATGTAGATCTTCACCTCAAGAAACAACTAGACTAATCCCACAATTATTACAAGTAAATTCAGCTATATTTATAGAAAAAATTGTATTAATAATTTGTTAAAATGTTTTATTTAAAAAAGGAAATAATGGAAGTGGAACATCTTTGGACATACAACGAAGGTGCTTTTGATTCTTCAAATACAAATGGAAGTTCTTCCAACCATTTTGGTGGTGCCAAAGAATTAGCTAAAAGTCGCCTTATGTCAGAAAATAAAGGAACTGACTTTCTTTCAAACTTATGTAACATTGCTGATCATAGATTATATAAAATAGTTAAATGGTGTAAATCATTACCACTATTTAAAAATATTTCGGTAATAAAATTTTTTTATAGCTATATGTTGATTATAAATTATAATTTCTTATACTGAACTTCTTAATAAATAGATAGATGATCAAATTTCTTTACTTATTAATGCTTGGTGTGAGCTCCTACTATTCAGCTGCTGCTACAGGTCAGTTAGTAGTCCAGGTGAAATAAGAGTTAGTCTTGGAAAGTCAATATCATTAGAACAAGCTAAAGATTTGGGTTTGGCTCCATGCATTGAACGTATGCTGAATTTTACTCAACATTTAAGACGTCTAAGGGTTGATAGATATGAATATGTTGCAATGAAAGTAATTGTTTTGTTATCATCAGGTAAAATCAGGTTAATTTTATTAAATTAATGAATAAAAAAAAAAATTAGTTGTATTTATTTTTTAGACTAAATATATTTTTAACAAAAGATTAAATCAAAAATTTCTTTTATAACTTTATTATCTAAATATCTTCACATTTTTAGGTTTTACTTATTCTTATAATATTTATAATATTTTAATAAAGATAAAATATTCTTATGATTTATAAAAAAGAAAAATATTGAAATTTGTATTCTTTTGTTATGTAATTAACTTAAATAATAATTATTTTGTTAATATAGTAAAAAAATCAAAATGAATTATTCATTTTGATTTTGATTTTTTATGGTTTATTATTGTCCTATTAAATTGAATATTTCTTTGATAGAGAGCCTTAGGTTTAGATTATTTATGTTGTGGATTTAGACGAAAGCAACTTCTATAATTTTTACTATAATTAACTAATTGGAATTTTTAAAAGTACATGTTAAATCTTTCTTAACTTCTTTATCTATATCTTTATTTTGATGTGAGATTTTCATAAAAATATATACTTTTTTTTAGATACAAATGATCTGAAAGAACCTGAAAAAGTTCGAGCTTCTCAAGAGAAGGCTTTACATGCATTACAACAGTATACAATAGCCCATTATCCAGATATGCCATCAAAATTTGGAGAGCTTCTATTAAGAATACCTGATTTGCAGCGTACTTGTCAGGTAAAATAAAATAATTTAATCATTTAATTAAGTTTAAATTACATATTCTATTATATGATTAAAATATATTTTCATAGCTCTCTTATGAAATTGGAACTGTGGTGAGATTGAGTTTTTACCATTTATTTATTGTACATGTATTTTTTTACACATTTTAATTTTAAATATAAAACAAATATTTCTACTATAGAATTTGTGATACTAATTTAGATTTCTATTTTTATATCAGGTTGGAAAAGAAATGTTATCGATAAAAAGCAAAGAAGGGGAAGGGCAAAGTTTTAACTTATTAATGGAGTTATTAAGAGGTGATCATTAAGTTGTATTATTTTAAAGAAATATTTGTGAAAGAGTTTTCTATTAATGTTAGTTAAAAATATAGATAAATTGTATTTTAAATAAATAAAAGAGCTGAATTTGTTAAAAATTATTGAATGAAAAATAATTGGTAATATGTTATATAAGTTAAACTATAGTCAAATTTTATTATTGTGAATATAATTTGCAAATAAAATATATAGTTACTAAAATTATTAATAAATATTTGAAGTATAAATTCAGAACAGTCTGAATCCTGTGATCTTAAATATAAATAGGATTAACTTTTTTTTGTATATGTGTAATCTGTACACACACACACATATATATATATATTTGTTTGAAGCAGGGTTTTAACTTTTAAAACCTTATTTTAGTATTATTGTATATATTTTTACTGTAATTCTATGTACTTAAAGTAATGGTACATAACAAAATTAGTGATGGGCAAGTTCCACGAAAAGTTTATTTTTTTTTATGAAAGTCTATATACCAATAAACATGTATGTAAAATCATTATAATATAACAATATGAATATTAAATTATTTTAAAATCTTGTGATATGTACCACAATGGTATTATATGTATTAAGGCAAAATATCATGTCTTGTCATCTAAGTGTCATCTTTAATTTTATTCTTGTGCAATAATTTATGTTACCAAAATTGTATTAACTGTTTCATTGTTAATTATATACATCTTTTGAAAAAATTATTTTGCCCATCACTCTGTAGTTTTTTATTTGGTATTAAATAATTTAAATATAACATTTAAAAACCCTATATAATTATTGTATAATATAATTTTAAATAATATAAAATGTAATATAGGTTTGTGTTAACATTAACATTTACATTAAATTATTTTTTAATTTAAAGAATCTGAAACTTGTACCTCATGTATTAATAATATCAATAGCAATATTAAATTATGTCAATATAAAATTTCTCAATGTAATTTTTTTAATAGATAATTCAATAATCAATAATTGGATACATTTTTAATTATATTAAAGCAATATTTTAATTTTGTAATTTTAAAACATATTTTTACATTTACTAGACTTAAGTAATATGCATTTTATTAAGATTTTTTTATACGGTTGATAATAATATAAAAAAATAAATTTTATTTTTATTATGACTGGTTTTATTATTTTTCTTAAATAATTTATATTTATTTTTAATTTGAATTTTTAAAGATAGTTATCTTATTTTTGGGGCTTTGAGACACTTATTTTTTTGAAAAATGTTGAATTGTCAAATTTAATGTATTACAATAAAATTGTCTTCATTAAATACTTTTGTTTCGATAAATATTTTATCCATCTATTGACTGATCCACGTTTTGGAACAAGTGCTTAATGGAATTAAACACGAATTAAAATATGTTAATTTTTTTACTTTAAAGGCCAATTTATCATAAAAGAACAAAAATTTTCATATGTGTGCGTGGTCTCTTTTTAACCTTTTATTTACTTACGATTTTCATAAAAAAATATATTGAAAAAGAGCTTTTTGTCTTTATTATTTTATTCTATTAAAACTCCATTACGATCAGTGTTTAAAAATAAATTTTATAGCTGTTTTAAAATTCAGAAAAAATTGTTTAAAAAAAAATGTCATTTTTTTCAATAATGTAATTTTGAGATAATTTTGAGAAGAGACTTTTTTTCCAATTTCTGGCGTCTATAAGGTTCAACTGATTAAAATTTGTATCTTTTGACTTAAAATATTTAATAAATCATAACTTATTAGATTTTTCAAAACATCATTGAATACTCTGTATAACCTGTATGATGGTTGAAGTTATTCAAAATAATTGGAAGGAACCCTTCATTTTTTTTTGTCTTCTATGAGGATTTGCCATTATTAAAATCACCAAAATAAATTGATAAGCTATTTCACATTGTACAATATTGAAGGGAATGTATTATTTTGTAAAAGATAAATGGAGGGATGAAAAATGTAAATTAGAAAAAATTGGGTTGTCATTTCTCTGTCACTCACATCAACCTCCATATGTAGTCATACTAATAAATAAGACTTTTTTTCAGATATATTATACTGAGAAAAAATGAATATTAAAAAAAAAAAATTGTAATTAAAATACGAATAATAATACTAAGTTTTTTTTTATAAAATTATATGTTGTATTTAGAACTCGATACTCAAAGGTATGGAGTTGGCTAGTGAGCATATAAATATAGTTATCATAAACTATTTGTCTTTTAGATTATACCATAGTACATAGTCAAACGGCTTCAATATTTTTACGTCAAAAATAAAATTAGTTTCTAATTTTGATTAAAATAATTACATTCATTCGCGTTGTGATCTGATGAATGGATTATATAACAGAAACTTAAATATAAAAATATTATATCGGGTTATGGGGATTGCTTCGAACTTATAATACTCCGACATTCATATACTCCGATATTGTAAAAAAATCCTCCGAATACAATTACTCCAACAACAATTACTGCGAATACCTGGTTACAAAAATTTGGATTTTACTACGACAATGATTACTCCTAATATAGATTAAATCGCGAAATCGATTAAAAATGATGATATTTCGGAGTAGATGAATATCGTAGCAATATATTATCTGATGGAAAAATATAACCCTTATCGCTAATTAGTATATACTAATAAATATAATAAAAAAGCGTTATAATTGATTTCTGTTTATTAAAGAATAATTATATTTAAATTGCATTCGTCTTTCGATACGATAGGTACATTAAGGTAAGGAAGGAGGCTTTAAATTAAAATAATCCCATTTATATAATTGATGTTATTTCTTAAAAAGTTTTTTTTGGAGGGGGAAGAAGAGCGATTCCAAATTTTAAACTTTAAATTTTTTTTGTCTCTCCTTATTAGTCCCCATTATTATAACATTTAATAAGTTGTAGTTTTTCATTTATTAATTGGTAAAAAAAATATAAGTGTGCATGTTACTGATGGATAGGATTCGTAAAATAGTATTTTCTAAAACTGTCATTCCAATTAGTCTCGTATAAAATCAAACAAAAATATGATTTAATATCATTTCATTATTTAAAGGTGAACAACTAAATTAATTAAGTCCAGTTTGGATTCGATCTTTTGATTGGCCGCAATCTGAAGAGACTTGAAGGGCCTAGTCTCCTAAATTTTTACCATAAAATATACCGCGAAAATTAATTAATTTGTATTTCTTATTGTATAGAAATATTTTTCTGATTAGGTAAAAAATTATGTAATTTAGAGTTACCAAATATTTTGTTGCAATACTCTGACGCTCTAGTCAATTTAAGTAAATACAAGACAGTTATAAGTTAACAGTCAACAATAGTTCGTGATTAATCATAAATTTATTTAACTCTTCTGTTAAGATAATTAGTTTTAAACTTAACTAAGTCGAGTTGAAAATATACAGTCGATTCAGTGAAAAATGGTTGTTTTTTTCATTTGTATGAGGATTACCTGAAATTTTGTCAGTTGTTCAATAAAATAAAAAAATATAGTGAACGTGATTTTATTTTTTAGGAATATGCTTACGTATTTTAAAAAGTACATGTAAAATGAATTTTAATTTTTAAAAAAATTTAATTTTGTATTTATAGAACAATACATTTGTATTTGCAGGATACTCGTTAAGCTAACGAGATGAAAACATTGGCAAAATAATCATCTTTTAGCAGTGTCGGTCTGGCTCAGGACGCCCTCATTAAATTTAAGATTTTTTTTGCTCGCTGGACTACTGAGAAAATTGTCTGAAAAGTTATTACGGAAAATGGAATCATGTCCAAGGTTCCAGACCAACACTATTTCCTAATCAAGATCGATTAGATTTGACCAAATCTGAAAGTCATTCAAACAAGGATCATCTTTCAACAAAAGCAACCCACGAAAACACTGTACAAAAAGAAATTTTTAGTTTTGACTATTTGCTTATTATACCTTACTATATAGATAGTACTCAAATAAAAAAAATGTTGACTTTCGACAATAAGTGTTCTCGCAGTTGTCGGTGATGGGTAATAGAACCCCCCCACGACGAAAATAATTATATTTAAATATTATATTTTGGTGTGTAATATTTTAGAGGGGGTATAAAAATGTTTTTATGTATTTCCTTGATCCCTGATAAGACATCATGAAGACATCATAAATAGGTTTAGAATAGGGCACATTAGGCTTGTTCATGGGCACCTCATACGACAAGACAATCCAGAACAATATATCACCTATGGGGAAGACCTTATTATGAAACATACCATGATTTATTGTAGAAAATATATTAACATCAGAAACAATGTCATTTTCCTCAAAATCTGTACGAATTACTAGGACCGAACTTCAATGAAGTCATTGAAATAGTTATTTCTTCTTTAAATCAAACTAAATAGTATAAAAAAATTTAACTTTTTGAATTTTAAAATTATGTATACATAAATACCTACATTTATAAATTATATTGTAGATATCTAATTGTTATAAGACTTGTTAATTACTATAAGCCAATAACTATAGCCTCTCAGTTCTTAAATAAAAAATAGTGCTTTTATGTATATTTTCCAAAGACAAAATTCTGAGAAGACCTTTGTTACTTTTGTATACGGGCATAATTTTTTTTTTTATAAGAGTTAGTCCCTCTAAAATTCAGAAACATCATATTTATTTAAAGAAAATAAAGATCATTTTTTTTTGTGATATAATTTTAATAGTTTTTCCTAACTCTACACTGTCCTTAAATTTTTGTGGTTAATATCAAAAAACTGATGAGTGATAATTATAGGTTATTGAGATTATTTTATAAATTTTTAGAAAAGGATATTTTCGCCCATATACGCCAAAGTATAACGAATCAATTACCAATAAATATGTTTTTGCACCAAAAAAATTTTTTAGAACACATAGAATAATTAGAACATGTTGAGGGAGAGTTAAAATAAATTATTTTTCAGCACATGTTCGTTGGGTCAAACAAAAACATACCAATAAATTCCCTCCTATAAATCTATTTTGAATGTGACGGTAACAAAGAATTTACTCATTTGCTTGGTGACAATTTACCTCAAGTAACATGACCAGTTCGACTTTGATCTAATCACCTGGGAGTCTCAAAACTGCTAAAAGAGTGGCAATATGAAAACGATTTGGACTATACAAGTAATGTACTACACCCACTTTAACTAAGTCAAATCAGTAAAGTAAAATCTACAACTTTTTTTCTAATCTTTTAAAATTTTTTAGTTTTTTTCTATTTAATAATTATTTAAATTATTTATTTCTTAAAACAATATCTAAAAAATATCTTCAGGTACAACTCTTTAAATTACTACAGAAAAATAAAAATTTATCCATCGTATAATTTTTAAGCTTTACTTCAAAAATATTAAAATAAAAAAAATTAATATAAAAAATAAAACTAAACTTCGCCGACAAAAAATTTTTTATATATTCTTAGTCAGTATGAAAAACTAAATCGATTTAAAAAAAAAAATTTGAAAAAACTCAATGGGGTGGTAAAATGCATTTAAGCCAAAATATTTCATGCATTTCAGCTGTGACTTAAATATCTAATTTAATGGCCAAGTTCAAAATATTTTCTTTAAGCTTTAGTGATATGTAACATATACAATCGATGCGCCCTATTACTAATAATACAATCAAAATATAACATAACTTTCAATGCATAATCGAACTATTAAACTATCGATAATGTTGGAGTTTTTACCGTCTTATTTTTTAAATTTAATGTAGGAGTAATATCCGTCGTGGTTATGGTAGCTTATGGTATCATATAGTCGGAGTTCCAGATGTACGAAACAATTACTACTTTGTTTAATGTCGAAGTATGTAAATGTCGGAGGATTATCAGATCGTGGCAAAGATGTTTTCCCTAATAAATAAATATATCTACTAATGATAAATTATTTTGTTAATCTTAAAATGTAATTGATAATGATATTAAAAAATAATGTTATAATAAAAATACTTAAAATTATGATAAGTATATATTGAAATGATTAAAATAAACAAAATGCAACTTAAATTATTTTTTGTTAAAATAATACATTTTTTAAGTGTATCAGCTATTTATTTTCTTCACATTTAAAGAATATATGCATTTAAAACAATGAAATATTTGAAGATAGTACTTTTTTGCTTTTCACAATAAAATTAATATTTAAAATATATTTTAACCAATGTTGAAGTGTATTATGTGATCAAGTTCTTGTTCTTTAATTTGACTATCAAGTAATAAAAAGATAAATCAATAATTCTTTTTTCTTTTAATATTTATAAAATAATGGCAACATATCCAAAAGTAGAAGGTTATAAAATTCATAAAAACATTGGCAAAGGAAGCACATCAACTGTATATTTGGCTCAATCAAATGTATATATTTAGTTTTCTTTGAAGACATATTTTAAAGAGTAATATAACAAAGCAATAATAATCATCTTGTTTATTTTTTATCATTTTTAGCAAAATGTTAAAAACTTAGTTGCAATTAAAGTCATTGAACGAAACAAACTTTCAAAAAGTGCAAAAGATGCTGTGATTACAGAAATTGGAGTTATGAAAGCTTTAAAACATCAACATATTGTTCAGATGATTGATTTTGTTTGGGATTGTAAAAACATATATATAATTTTAGAACATTGTGATGGTGGTGATCTATCTTCATTTATTAAACGTCGAACTAAACTTCCTGAAAAAGTATGCAAAAAATTTATGCAACAGTTAGCATTAGCTCTACAATATTTACGTTCTCATAATGTTTCTCATTTGGATCTTAAACCTCAAAATTTATTATTAATAAAATCACCAATATTAACTCTTAAAGTCGGAGGTAAGCATTTCAGATATATATTATTAAAATTTATTTATATTAATAAAGCTTTAGATTTTTATAAAATAACTTATAATAACTTTAAATGGAATTGAATTTATATCAAACTTTATAAAGAAATATTTAGTTATTTATATCAATCATATTTATTAAGCTTGGTTCTCACTACTTGTTTATTCACCAAATAATAAGTACTTGACCTTCCTGACTTAACAAAACACAAACTGTTATATAAAACAAAACAAGGCTTTATCATATTTTGTTGATGAAAAATATGCATTTTTTAAATATTTAAAAATAATTATAAGAGTGGGAGTAATAGATCACAGATTGATTGTACAATGTGGAAGAGAAAGAGCGTAAAGCGAGTAAAAGGTTATAAAGTTATACCATGCGAGAGTATAACTACACAACATAGACTGATAATAATGAAGTTGAAGTATAGTGGTAAGATAATATACAAAAACAAAAAAAACACAGGAGAAAAATCGAGAATCTGGTAGTGAAAATTGAAAGGGGAAAATAAAAAAGTTTTTAAAAGTGGTAAATGAGAGGGTGATGTGGAATGTTGAGGGAGGCAAAAATTATGAGTGGAATAGATTTACTAGTTGTGTAAAGAATACTGCAAAGGAGATAGTTGGTGATAAGATATATATATCTGTAGCTTTGTATTAAATAAATTTTAACTAATAATAATTGGTTTAATTGCAGATTTTGGATTAGCAAAATTTATGAGTGAAAAAACACAAGCAGAAAATATTAGAGGGTCACCTTTGTATATGGCACCTGAAATGCTACTCCATCAACGATATGATGTTAAAGCAGATTTGTGGTCAGTTGGAGTAATTACATATGAGTGTATGTTTGGTCATGCACCATATGCATCTAATTCAATTAAAGATTTATATGATAAAGTAAAAAAAGCAACACCAATAGAAGTACCCAAAACACAAGTTAGTGCTAATTGTCAACATCTATTAATCAATTTACTGAAACACAATCCATCTGAAAGAATGAGTTATGATGAGTTTTTTAGACATCCATTTTTAGATTTAGAGCACTTGCCAAATGCAGAATCTTATGCAAAGGGAATAGATGCAATTAGGCAAGCTGTTAAATTAGATTCTGAAAAAAACTACAAAGCTGCATTTTCTAAATATTGTACTGGGCTTCAATACTTAATACCATGTTTGCAAAGTAAGCAACTATTAAGATAATAAAATATGTTTATACTTTATATACATAATCCAAAAAAATCAATTAAAAATTAATTATTTTTTTTCAATACTGTATTTAATGTTTGCTTTGAGCTGTAGAATATAAAATCAATAATTAATAGAATTGAGTATGACAATATTTTCTATGAGGGTTATAGTCTTATACTCTATTTCATAAGTCTAGATAGACCTAATAGGAAGGTTCTTCATCATATTTCTTTATCTCTTCTCTCCTGCCAAAAACATAGTTTATATGTGGTAGACACGTGTAGATACAGAATACATTTTTGAGGGGGTTCATTTCAAAATTTTTTTTACCTACACTAATAGCTGTACTGATAAATAAATAAATAATTTGATTTATAATTTCAAGATGAATCAGATAAATTAAAAAAACAAGAATTTCAGAGGAAATTAAATGAGTACACAAATCGTGCTGAAGAACTCAAAGCTGTTCTTTATATTTCAAAAATTAAAATTGATGATAGTAATAAAACTGATTATAATTCTATGGAAAAAGAATCTAGTGGACATTCACAAACCTTAAGTAAGTTTAAGTTCATAATTATTCAATAATAATCCAAATGGACATTAATTACAGAAGAAGTTAAAAAAATTTTTTTGAAACTTGATCATCCCCCTCCAAATATTTTTCCAATATTGAAAAAAATTTACAAAAGTTGTTCAAAATTGATTAAACCTAAGACAAAGCAATTTTCCTTATATTGAATAAAATTTTAAAATATTTGTCATTATTTTTAGTTTCTTTGTGTAAAAATACACCACAGTTAGCTAGTGCTATTGAAATTGCACTCTCAGGTCAAATGTATTTGGTGGAGGGTCAATATGAAGCTGCTGTAGAAAATTATAAAATTGGACTGAAACTATGTGAAAAATTACTGGAAAAAGAACCATTGGGAATTCGATATGACTTACTTGTAAAACAGGTTAAATTATGATGTTCTATTGAAATATATTTAATGAAACCTACAAATTCATTAAATGTGTGAAAGATGAGAATTCAAGGAGCTTTTTAAAGTTTCTCTTTAGGATTGTAGTAAAATTAAAACATTTAATAATAATAAATTGGTTAATGAAAAAAGAATCATTTCGTATAGTTCTTAATCTGGGACTCATATACAGGGTGATTTTTTTATCATAACCCACTCAAATACTTGCAGAATATATATAATTTAAACATTTTTTTTTTTTATTATCTTTAGTTACACATTATTCTTGAATTATTAACTATGTAATACTTTTTAAGTTCAACCCTTTTTAAATGGGTAGACATTTTAAATTTAATAAAATGTTTGAGTTTTTAATTTAATAGTAAATGACATTTAAATTTTTAGTATACATTTATTTGTTTATTANAATGACATTTAAATTTTTAGTATAAATTTATTTGTTTATTAGATATAAACATTTAAAGTTTCAAATTTTTGAGTTAATATACATGTATAATAACAAGGGATTACAAATACATGTAGCTAATTAGATTTTTATGACATTGCTGTCACAGTCACGGATTGTTTATTATCAATTATCACTATCATTAGATATACTTTCTGTATTGTCAGTTAGTGTATTTATAAACTCACAACAATGTGCTTTACTACCATTGATAATAACAATGTTGTGTACCTGCTAATATCGATGTCATAAAAAACCAATTAGCTACCTGTATTTGTAATTCCTTGTGTATTATACATATATATTAACTAAAAAATTTGAAACTTTAAGTGTTTATATCTAATAAACTAATAAAGTTATACTAAAAATTCAAATGCCATTTACTATTAAATTAAAAATTCAAACATTTTATTAAATTTAAAATATGTGTTCCCATTTAAAAAAACAAAGTTGACACCTTTACCAGGCATAAGGGATGAACTTAAAAAGTATTACATAGTTAATAATTCAAGAATAATGTGTAACTAAAGATAACCAAAAAAAAAAAAATGTTTAAATTATAATTACTCTATAAATAATTGAGTGGGTTGTGAAAAAAAAATCACCCTGTGTATAGAATACAATAATCATTCTATTTGAACAGAAAAAATATTATAAATAAATACAAATATGTATCTAAATTATAAAGAAAAATAAATTGTTACATTTGTCATGTATTATGATTATAGATTTATGGATCAAAATTTTATTTTTAATATGTATATTAGAAAAATATTTCCTTTATTTCTTTTCTTCGTTTAATTTTTATAATTAGTACGATTTTTAATGTTTATTTATATATTTTTCATAAGATATCTGAATGGAAAGTTCAATGTGAAAATGCATCAACATTATTAGAATCTAAAATTGAGAAAATAGGTGAAACTTCAGTTGATGTTCCTGATGGATTTTCACCATTATCCAAAGGTAAAAAAGAAAACAGATCACCAATATTTCTCAATGTGGTAAAACTAGTGATGAATGTTAACAAAAATAATTGGCCTTTATCTAAATAGTTATTATTTTACCATTTAGATGAAAACTAAAATTAGTAGTGTACTGTGTTTAGTTTTATGATATAAATTTCTAATTATAAATATTGTGTTTTATAATATTTTCAGGGAATTTGATGTATTTCAATATTATTTTTTTAATTTTATATTTTTTTATACAATACTTTTTTTATTGAAAAATGCAATTACTTTGTAAATTCTTAAAAAAAAAAATGTTGAAATATGATTATTAGGTTTTTTTTTTTATTTAATAAAACTTTTCATATTTAACAATTTATTAATTGATCAAAATATTTAAATGTGTAAAATCAAATTGTGATACTATTTTTTAATGATATCAATGATGATTGAATTGTTTGTTTATAGAAATAAATAAATTGTTTCAGATACATGTATAATTCAATGAAATTGAATGGACTTAGTTTTTTTTTTTGGCTGTTCCTTTATGTAAAATTTATTTGCTAACATTTTGACTGTGATAAAATTTATATGTTATAAAAACAATTTAAGTTCTTTATTAAAAACTTTAGTAAAAATATAAGTGAATTTTCTTTAAGTTGTTGTTCATTGATATTATATTGACCTTCAAAAACATATATATATATATATAGGATACAAATTATTCGAATCATAATAATATGAGCTAGTATCTTGAGGGAGGGGATGTAAATAGGTGTCATTTCCCCCCCCCTCCAAAAAAACTGGGTTATTTTTAAATAACCCCTTAGGATGCTTTCATAAATAAAATTTAATTACACCCCAGTGTAATTAACCTTAAAATTCTTATACAAATTGAATGGTTCTTTTCCTGCTATTTTGCCCCAAAATAACCATTACTATCATAATATTATATTCATGTTGCAACTTTACAAACATTTTCATGGTATGGTTTATTTTTAATTTTGATGGGTTTCTCATAATAAAGAACGTGGAAAACCTATTAAATTATTTTATTTTATTGATTTTTAAAATTAAAAAAAGTACTTTTAGTAATAATAATAATGGCAAGACAGAATCTTGTGATCACATGAAAAAAATTAATTACGTTATTTTATTCTTATTATTTACAATTTATCATTTGATGTTATGTAGTAAATTATAATTATTGCCTAAAATAATTAAAAAAAAATTTTGATGTATGATCACCATTGCTTATTAAGTCATTTAAATTTAAGATTAATAAGTAAAACTAAATAGTTTTACCAATATCGTTTTTAACGTACTTAGGTATACAGTTGAATACGTAAAAATAGTCAGTCCGTAACACTATCTAAATTACATTTACTGTGTTTGTTATTATGGCCTGAATATTTCTTGTTTCCCCTCATAATTATTTAAAATAATAATTACCTAATTGTAAAAATACTTAATTACTCAAAATAACTTGCCTACATGTAGAATGTAGGTTTTAGCGTATTAGGAATTATAGTAAAAAACATTTGTCACTTAAATAAATACTTTGAATAAAAATTAAAAACTTTTAAACTATATAAAAGTATTTGAACATATCATGATTTGGCAGAAAAGAAGCATTTATTAAAATTCAAACCATAATAACAAACACAACAAATGTAATTTAGAGTGTAACATAGGACTACTTTTACGTATTCATATTGTCTACTTTAGTACCTTTATAAATGCGTTCCACTATTTTTAACAATTTGCGATAAGAAAAGTATGCTGATTTGTCGGACAAAGTGATACATTCTGTTATATACATGTGTGTGTGTGTGTAAAACAAATATGTTATAAATTAAAATTTTGTAAGTGTAATTTACAAGTCTTATATCAAAAACTAAAAGTGTTTAGAAGATCTTAAGACAGTTATTAATTCATCATGGAAAAAATGAATAAAATTGCATACTTTTATTAAATTTTATGTAGATCTAATTTGTTTGTAGTATAAGTAATGATTAAATAAAATAAAGTTTTGTTTAAAGTTGATAAACTAAGTTATATTATGTGAAAATGAGTTACATCATTGTTTTCAGGGTCAACAAATTTGAAGATTATTCAATTTAATTGTATATAACTTATTTATTACTATGTTTTAAATTGCACCGTAGTATAATTTGTTGCAAATAATATTATAGTAAGGCAATAGATCTACAAACACTGGTTGCAAAATTCTGTTCTGGTTTATCTGCAGTGATAAATAGGGTTATATGGGAAATTATTTCCGGGAAGTATATATATATATATATTTTCTTCACTGAACACGTAGACATTTTATAGCCCTGTCTAAGTAAAGAAGGATGTAAAAGTTTGGGGTCGAAATAATTTCCATTGTTAATTTTGTAAGAGGGGTTCGAGTAAAATTACTGAACAGTACAACTATAAAAAAAGGAAATAGTTTGAATACACTAGCTTGGATGAGGTAGTGGTAGAGTATTTGCAATTAAAAAAATGCTCTCGTAGTCAACAATCGTGGTTTCAAATTTGCAGAATAATAAAAAATTCTACTGAACCGAAGATAAATAGCAGTCTAGTGGGAGTAGATGGTCGGTGAAAAGTGCAGCGGAGCCGACCGGTTTCAGTTGGCAGCAGTGTTATCTGCAAGAGCCGTTACGACGGTCCAGCCAATGGGAGTGAGTAAATTTGCGAAAAACGGTTCCTGGATTGTTTTTTTTTGCACTATTCTCCCGCAGCGGCAGCGTCACTTTGTCGAAATTTAACCAATTTAACCCTTTTTCCGCTGTTCTCACCGACGCCGCTGCCGCTACCGCCGTCATCAGATCTGATTTGATCAACATACAATTGTGTGAGGTTCATACAGATACATTAGTTAGAGAAGTTAATTAGACAATTAGCACAAGACACCGGTTGCCGGTTATGTAAAAAGTGCCCGGAACCAAAAGGCTGTATCAAATGAACTACGTGTGTTAAAACAACTATTGCAATTCAATTAGAACACTTCCATAGGAGTTACCGGAATATTTTGTAAGTATTTATTTTGTTGAGTACGTTATATGTTTCCTTGGAATGTGGTATCTTTAATTTTTTTTATTTGATATCTGTTCATATTTGATGTGTTATATCATTTAGGTACCCTTATTGTCAATATTTTAGTATAATTTATTTAATTTATTATCTAATATTATAGTGAGGTATGGAAGTAAACAAATCTGGATTAAATGAAAAATCAGAAGATCAACAAAGACAAAGTGATGACGATAAAACTAAGGACCACAAAAAACTCCTTGATTATGGTATTCATGAAATGGTTGCAGACAGACTTGATGAGATATACAAAAGTGGTAACAATAAATATAGTCTTAATTGTCTTATAGTTTTTTTCAAAATAAAATTTTTTCTTGGCACCGCCCAATTTTTTATTGATCTTTATTTTTTATAACCATTATACCGAGTATAGTTATTATTTTGTGATAGCTACAGTAGTTTTTTATACTTAAATAAATGACCTATAGATTATAAAAATAAAATAAGATTAGAAGGTGAAGCAATTTTTATTCTAAATATTAAATAAACTTTTCATTAAATATATTGACATTGAAACTCATTAATGGTAATTCTGTAAATTTTTTTTTTTAATTTGTTATCAATATTTGATGTAAAAATATATACTATTAATTTTTCATGATGGTATAAATGGTATTTTTAATATTTATATCATCTAAAAAAAAAAAAACTAATTATGAGCTTTTTGTAAGTATTTTTTGTGTTTACTTATTGCCTTACAATAAAATACAATATATAATTTAATACATAATTATACATTATATATCAAATGATGTTAATAATAAATAAAAAAAAGAAAATTAGAAATACTATATGTATTGAAACCAAAGTATAATAGGTGACCAAAATATATATAATTTTTTTTAAAATACCTTAAAAAGTTCATTAAATACATAATTAAAAATAAATTGTGATCCTATAATTTGTTATATCACATAGATATTAATTTTTTTTTATATTTCAAGTGTTTTTCAATATAGTATTGTTAGAAAAAATAAATTATAAAATTATCACATTGTCTTTTTTTTGCGTAGTAGCAACAATATATTATATCAACAAAAAGAAATTCACTTAAAGTCACATAAAGTTTTATTATTTTTAAATTTTGATCTCTAAATTTTTTTACATATATTACTATTGAATTTGAGAAGTGTTTTAGTGTTGAAAATAAACATGTTTTGCTTATACATCAATTTTCTAGTAGTTCAATCGTAATAATAATTCAAGAAATAGTGTTAATCAAAAAATAAATTTTATATATACTTAAGGGAAATAGATATGTTGGTTAATTTGGACTTTATTTTTTACCAATTTTATTTTATCTTTGTAAAGTAAAAAATAAAATGAACATGGACATTTCCAGAAAGTAATGAAATATCTTTAAGTTTCAATATTTTTTTGTGCATTTACAAATTGTTCGATTTAAATAATTTTATACCTTTCAATAAAATGAAACTTTCCAAGAAAGTTGAAAGAATTAAATTATTATTATATACCTTCCTAAATGTTATGTCATATTACTAATATTTTAAATTTATAACATAAATATAAAGTCCGTTTAGTATTTTATATTTATAATAATTTTTAGGAAAATTAGTGCATTCAGATTTGGATACTAGAGCTTTGGATGCTCTTAAAGAATTCCCTGTAGATGCTGCCCTTGGAGTTCTTTCTCAATTTCTTGATAGCAATTTAATACATGTTTCAAATAAATCAGCTTATTTATGTGGTGTTATGAAAACATATAGACAAAAAACAAGAACTACTCAAGAACCTTTCATACACCCTCTTAAAAGCCCTGAATTTGATAAAGTTAAGGTATAAAAACATATATGTAACACTTATTTTATCTATAATTGTTACTAAAAATTGTTATTATTAATTTCACATTTATGATACATTTTTTTAGGAAATTTTAAATAGAACCAATTACAAATTTGATGTGACTACGGGACAAAGAAAGTATGGTCCACCTCCAGATTGGACTGAGCCTAAACCATCTGCAGGATGTGAAGTAATATAATTTTAACATTTTTAATAAAAAATGTTTGTTTTATTAAACCATAATTCCTATAATCTCATATTGAAGTCTCAGTTTTATATTTCTATGTTTATATAGTCCATATTGTACCCCTGGAACAAAACTGTCACAACTTAAAAATGTTTTAATTTAAACACTGTTTTACATATATTTATAAACTTTTCTACTTGCTTGGAATTAAAAAATTTATATTTTGAATTGTAATAGTGTTGCTCTAGTGTGCAATATTATAAATTTTACTATAGCAAATGTATATAAATTTAGACTGACTTAAAACAAAATTTTTCATAGGATATTAAATGATCATTTAGCAAAAGAATATAGAAAAAAATTTGCAATTGAGTGAAATTTAACAGTTATGCGTGAAAGCATTTTTATAATAATGTTGTTACTCATTGTCAGCTATCATATTTTTTTGTTCTCATTGTGCTGTTACTTCAGTGTGCTAGGTTTTTTAAGTTGATATTTGGATTTCTGAGCTGAATATTATCAAATATTCAGTTCAGAATTAACAATTACAATTATATTTATTTATTAGTTTTTTTATTTGTTAAATTATAATAATTACTAAAGATGGTCTAGATTTTAATATCTCATATAAATATTAGTTCCATTATAAAAATGAAGATTATATATATAATCCATTTATCAGTAACCTCTATTACTTACAAGATAAATACAATATTCAGATAAATTTTTTTTTTTTAAATTAATTACATGCGTTTCTTGATTTATTACTTATATAAGGTATGAAACTAAAAAATTATTAATTGCTAATAAATCATAAAATGTGTGTAATTAAAAAGGTCAAAAAATGTATCTTATTATATAATAGAACAAGGAAAAAAATGTTTTTTTGTGAAAATTACTTAGCGTATTCGGAATTTCAAAAAAATTTTTTCAACGAAAGTCTCGGTCACTAGACTTTACACTAGAAAATTATTGTCAAAGAACGGAAAATTTTTGCCACTCGCCTGTGAGCATTTTAAAATTTCGACCATTATCATGTAAAACTACGCCAGCGTTTTACGATTTAAGGTTTGAAATTTTTACCAGACCCGCCCAATGACATTCCTGAGATAAAGTAAAAAAATCAATTCAATCCGTTAATTTTTAACCGTTTTATGAGCTTTTTTTTTTAAGTCTACACGCATGGGCATTGCTTATTTCTGCGCATTCATTATTCTGATCCTTAATTTGTGTAATATGTATTTTTATTAGGACACTATTTTGCATTTGTGCATAGCACTGTATGTTATATATATATAATCAAGGAATGTTTTATGTTATATATAAATAAGTTAAATATCAATTTCAAGACAGTTATAATTATATAAGTTGTACATTCATTATCAGGACAGTATATTGTTAATAATCTTATTTTTTTCATATATGATGTGTAAGCCTATGAGTTTATCTCATTATAAATTGTATATATTGGGATCCATCTATGACAACTATGCTGTCCAACGTCAAATCACAGTTACCAATATTTTTATCAAAATTAAATTTTTTACATAGTCCCACGTATAATAACCTGCTGTTTTTTTTATAATTATTCTCTAATATAAACACAATTATTATAATTAGAATATTAATAATTTTTGTATTTAAGGGGCCTTGAACTAGCGCTATCAATATTTTTTTAGGCAACTTCTAAAATATAATAACCTAATATCCTTTTTTTTTGATCATCACTTTGATTTTTAGCAAAAAAATTCTATAGCATGTTTAACAAAGTAGAAAATATTAAATACCCTCCTAAAATAATTTCCGAATATACCCAAAAGGAATACCTCATTAAAAATAAATGTCAACCTTATATCCAATACATTTTACTATATTCTCTTTTTGAATTTATCTGATTTTAATAATTACATTTTTAGTATATTTTTGTTACACTGATTTTAATGTAATACTTTTTCTGCAAAACACTTATCGTTCGCGGCATAGCCGGGTACTCCTACCGGAATTAGTAGCCTACTTATGATGATGGCTTGAAGAGGCTTACACGCCAAAGGTTCGCAAGGCCTCAGGTCTGGGGCAGAGCACCACCTAGACGAAGCCTAGTTATCAATATTGTAATTATTTTATAATTAATGAGTGAGTTATGATAAACAGAACACCTTGTATAAAAACTATAGTCTTTTATTGTTATAGTTTATTTTTATTAATGATAATAATATAGTAAAATGTGAAATGATATTGATCATACTAAGCTAATAGCTTAATAAAAAAAAATTAACTCAATAAAGGAATAGATAAGTACCTACCTATAATTTTTGTTATTTCATTAAAAATTAATTAAGAACATTACTAAGTGTCAAAATTTACATCTACATATAAAAATATAATTAATAAAGTATTCAATAATCTAAAAATATATCAACAATCATGATAGATTCTATTAAAATAACAAATGTTTATAACACCTTAAATTTTTATTTTTATCACTTTATACCCCTTAATATTATAAGTCTTTTAGTTTCATGTGTAGTCATAAATTAATTACATGTTTTTTTAAGCTTACATTAAATAATTAATTAAACTTTTGGATAATCCAAAAGCAAACAAATAACAATAGTTACATCACGGTCAATTGTGCTCCAAGTACTTTATATTACCATGGTTGTATCATAAAATTCTTATCATTTCATAATTCAGTTTTTCTACAATTATTATTATTTTAACTACTTTGAAATTTTGACCATTCCAATAAATTTCTTGTATTAACACTTTCTTCTCTTCAGTGCTCAAAATTAAAGCGCCCTCCATCATTTTGGGATTTAACTTAAAGGAGATGTTAGATTTTACTCCAAATGGGGACTCTGTCCCTCCCCTTCCACGTAACTTTAACTACAGAACACGTCTGTATATTTTTAATGTAACTTGCATATATTATTATTGAAATATATTTATTTTATCACAATAAGTATAATTAAATTTTATGGATCACTAATGGGTTTTAAAATATTCGCCTATATTTTCCTTATTTTTTGAATAAGATCGTTTTTATTATTTTTTCTAATAATTATCTGACAATTTCCTTATGTTCATCATATAAATAGATTTTTTTAAATTAAAACTAAATTCATAGTTGAAGAGTTGAAGAAGTTAATAGACATCTATGATCCAAAAAATAAAAAAATTCTAGGCAAATATTTAAAATAATTAGTTTATTTAAGTAATAAAGTAATATAAAAAATGAGCTAAACTTAAGAGTACAATAAATATTTCAAGTATCAAGTAAAAAGTATGATATACAAATTATGTGTTTTAAAAAAATGTATTTTTATTTGTTTATATTACTACTTTGTATAAAGTATTAATAATATTGTTAATTTTTTAGATTTTTTGTGGAAAACTACCTAACACTGTGTTTGAAGACGAATTAATTCCATTGTTTGAAAAATGTGGTAAGATTTATGATTTACGACTTATGATGGATCCTCTTTATGGTACAAATCGAGGTTATGCATTTGTTACCTATACATCAAAAGAAGAAGCTGAAAAAGCCACAACTGATGTAATGATTAAATTTGAATTCCTAGTTTTGTGCATTCATGTTTATTTAAGTATAATATTTATTATATAGCTTGATGGATATGAAATAAAGCCTGGTAAATATATAAAGGTAAATATTAGTGTGCCTAATTTACGTCTTTTTATTGGAAATATCCCCAAGTCAAAAAGTCAAGAAGATATTTTGGAAGAGTTTGGTAAAATAACAAGTATGTTGTTAATTTTTTATTTTAATTTAATTTAAGCTAAAATATTATATATTTATTGAAGGTGGACTTGTTGAAGTTATAATATATAGTTCTCCTGATGATCGTAGAAAAAATAGAGGATTTTGTTTTCTTGAATATGACTCGCACAAGTCTGCTTCCGTAGCTAAAAGACGTTTAAGTGCTCCAAATTATAAAGTTTGGGGTTGTGATATCATAGTAGATTGGGCTGATCCACAAGAAGAGCCTGATGATGAAACAATGTCGAAAGTGAGAAAAACAGTCATTTTTAATTTGTTTGATACATTAATAAAAAGATGGATAAAAAATTTGTTCACAGTATAAGATAAATGGGATGATTTGTAGATTTTTTATTATAACTATTTCTTTTATAAATTATAGTTTAAACACAATAGTGTTTTGTAATTATTATAGTGTTGACAATAAGTAGTTTAATGGTTTTTTTGATTTAGCTAATTTTTGTAAAAATCTGTGTTAGTTAATTTAACTAAATTAGTTTGAATTGAATGTTTTAAAATGAAGTTGCAATATTTAAATTTTTAGGTCAAAGTTTTGTATGTTAGAAACTTAACTCAAGAAATTACTGAAAATCGTTTAAAAGAAACTTTTGAAGCTTTTGGCTCTGTAGAGAGAGTGAAGAAAATCAAAGATTATGCTTTTGTTCATTTTAATGATAGAAGTAGTGCTCTTAAAGTAATAGTTTATATGAAATCAAATGTCATTTTTATTTATTGTATTGTTTTTCATATAGGCCTTAGAAGAATTAAATGGTAAGAATTTAGATGGCACAATTTTGGAAGTTTCTTTAGCTAAACCTCCTTCTGATAAAAAAAAAAAGGAAGAAATGTTGAGAGCTAGAGAACGACGTATGTTTACCAATATGCAAGGCCGTACATTTGGGTAATACTCAGTATAGAATATTATTTTTCAAGTTTCATATTGAATTGGCTAAATTATAAAAAATTGTTTTGAAATAAAAATGTATTTTCAAATAAATTGATCAAGATTAAAAACCGAATTGATTTTGATTTTTTAAAATTTTTTCTATATCTAGTAAGTTAGTTGACCTATAACGTATTATTCTTAGGTAATATTAAGGTTAATAAATGTAGAAACCAAATGTAATTTAAAATCTTAGCCAAACATAAAATTTGACCTTATAAAGTTTAAAAATAGTAATATATATCTTGGTTAATTTCGATTTATAATTTTATTTTAAGTCAAATTTTATGTTCAATTAAGGTTTAAAAGGTGGTCATTTAATTTCTGTAATCGTTTTTTCAACAAGCACTAAAAATATTTGATATAGATGACCTAATTTACAATACATAAGAAAAATTGTAAAAAAACGAAATTATTTTGGTCTCATCCCTTGATTTTAAATATATATTTTATATTATTTCAATCCTTTTTATTTATTTATTGATAACATGAAGATTTATACATTTCTAAACTTATTTTACTACAGTTAAATATTTAATCAGTTTGCTATAAATAAGTAAACAAGGATTTTATTTCAAACAGTCATATTAATAATATTATCATATACATTATATTGAATCTAAGTACTTTGCGTATTTAGTTCTAAGTAAATTTATTTATATATTTTTCTTGCAATAATATCATTATAAACATTCATTTAAATTTTTTACAAGAATTCTTATTAAGTCTTAATTTTTATAATTTCTTGTTATAGTTTAATTCCACAGCCTTTGTCACTAATGGGAAGTGTTCCCAGACCAGAATATCGAGGAGCATCAAATAATATTCGAATGCCAGGTCGAAGTGATTTTGGTTAGTTAAAAATATTATTTGTTTTTTATTACAAATTAATAGTATTAAAAATTTTATTTGTTCATTATAACAGTCATTGGATTGGTTTGAGGTAATAAAAACAATTTTATGCATGCTCTTTAGATTGATTTAGTATTGCAAATTCATGTATTTTTGGTTCATTATTTATTGATTATAATTATTTTAATTAGTAAAATATTGATTCTGTAAGTGAAAATCAATGAAATATAACAATTTATTTAGATAAATTGTTTGAATATTAAGTTTTTAAAACATAATTTGAGATTTTAATATTATTCAATTCAGTTAATTTATTTATAGTATCAATTATTTACACATGAAATTCAAGTTCATAGAATGAAGTCATAATACATAACATATTACTTTATAAATTAGTATTATATTTATCTTTATAAAAAAATATTGATAATTTTATTATATAGTGTTATAATATTACTTTGTGCTTCTTTTACTCCTGTTCTATACATTTTTATGAGTATCTGTTATTTATGGAGTATTTGTGTATCTATATAGAGTCAATCCATGCCAAATCATCCAGAAGTGGTTGCACGACCACCTCATATTTTACTGAAATTTTCAGGGTTTATTCATTATGCTATATTTAGATTAAAACAATTTTTTTTTTTTATGATCTTCCCATTTTTATGGCTATTTCAATTTAAAAAAAGTTAAAAATAGGTAGATCGTTAAAAAACACACAGATTATTCAATTTCAACTCAATCGAATTAAAATTTTAGATTTGACCTTATTATAACTTAAAGATTATATTAAAAAAAAAACATTAATGTGAAATTCTAAATTTTAATGACTTTCAAAAAATGGCCCTTTTTTTGTGAAAATTGACGTTTTTGAACTCACTTAAAACCATTAAGAAGTTACTATTTTATTGTGATTTTTACATGTGGTATTGTATAGTGTATAATCTATGTATAATCTATGTTTCAACTAAATTTCAAATATTTAAAACAATTATCTTGTGATTAGAAGCCTACAAAGTTAGAAATTTTATAAAAATACGCGTATTCTAAGTGCAATATCTCTGTTGGGGGACTTAATTTCCAAAAAAAATTTTTTTAGTTTTGTAGATATATATCTGTTCTATACATCATAAAAATTTGAAGTTTGAGAAAAATGTGTAACATGTAAAATTTAGCATTAGAAAATCAGTAAAAATCAAATAATTTAATGACAGTTTTTTGTTGTTTTCAAACCACATTTTTGTAATTTTTTTATATATCATTGTATATGTAATATATTATTATAATTCAATATAATTATTAAACACATTATAAATATAAAATTCATTATTTTAGTTGGAAAATAAAAAATAAATAAATAAAATTATTATGATAATATTGTAAAATATTTTAATAAATATTCATGGTTTCTCTAGTAGTTAGAATACTGTTTCTTCATAAATATCAGTTAATGATATCTTAAGACTTCTTTTGGTATTGTTATTAATTGATAAAAATCTGTGATTTTCCCTATTCCCGGGAATACTTTTACACAATTTAAATCCCATATTAGGTGTTTTGTTGTACTTCTGATGTGGGTATTTTAATGTATTTTATCTCTTTAATTTTGATGTATTTTGTTACTTTTTTTTTTTATGTTCCACCAACTCCATCGCTGGCCTATTTTGCCATGACACAAAACAAACCACTTCTGGATGATTTGGCATGGATTGACCCTATATTTTTAATATAATTTTTTTTTATTGATTTGCTTATTTAAGACCTGATACTTCTTAAAATAACTTAAGATAATTTATTTAAGCTTCGAAGCAAAGCTGAGAAGGTATTAATTTTACTACGATGTGTTTTTTATTTTTTGTCTGATACTACCTTTTCTCAGCTCTTACCGAACAGATTTCTTTCAACAATACGTCAAAAGATCACAAATCGTATCTAGTCGACGACATTACCCTTAAAAATTGAAAAAATTTCCTTCGTTCCCCGTAAATGGGGGAAACCTCCAAAAAAATTACAAATTTAAAATCGCTAATTTTCGAAATTTTTTTTTAAAACTGCCATAACTTTCAATAATGATTATATCATTATAATTTTTCACAAAAAATAACTTTTTAAAGTGTTCCGGAAATACTGACACATTTATATATATATTTAATTAAAGGTTATAAGGGAAAAAAAATATTTCAGACTTTATTTTGTCTACACATTGAAAATAGTTACCAATTACTATTTTTGTGTGAAAATTCTCGATTTCATATTTTATATTTTTAACTTTATAATGCTATAACTTATTGAAAAGTGTATGGATCATTACAATTTTTTTATGAGAAATAATATTCATATTCCTGTTTCATTCGACATATTTTTTTTTTTAATAACACCATTTCCCTTTATTTATTCATATATTACACTTATAAATCTTAAAACTTGTAATCAGGATATAAATAAGGAAATAGGAGATCGTGTAGTTTTTGGAATAATCCATCAATTATTTAAAATTAAACACTTCAAATTTGCATCGAAGCGTTTTTTATGATAGTGATTTTAATTACTGTCAGATATCATTATACTTGACCCCACTATTCCACATCCCCACAATGCTGGGTTTTTTTTTTTGTGTAAAAATATTTGTTATCCAACTTCTTTTTGTTTTATTAATTTATATTTAAAAATAGTACATGTTTTAATTATTAACAGCTAAATAAATTGAATAAATGAATATATTTTAATATCAATATTTTAGAGTGGGCATCTTGGGGATTTAATTCATGGATGTGGCCATCAGCACGCTGGGATACTGGAGCTCCTGCAGGACATTGGGGTTCTGCAACAACTGGAGCTAGACAATGGCTTGGAGCTACTCAAAATAGTCGTTCCCGGGGAAATAGTAGTGGCGGCCGAGTTGGTGCAATTGGGAATAGTGGTAGTATTAACCACATGAAATTTAAAAGATAAACACGGTAATAATTGTTTATTATTTGTATTAATGCTAAATTTACTTTTTTTATGTTAGAGATTTAAAATCTTATTTTTATTTTTAGACGAAAAGAGTTTCATTTAAGTCTCCAGAAAAAAGGGGGTCAACATATTTAGACCTACAACTGCCTATAGATATAGGATGTCAGTTCAAGTAACTAGATGATGTGAGAATTATAATGCTTGTATATTTATATATTTGTGTCTCATTTTAAATAATGGTACCATCTTTTTTTTTGTGATTGTCATTATTATATCAATTTCTCCCTCATGTTACCTAATTTCATTGTTGTTTAGATGTATTTATTATTATTATTATTATCATTATTATTATTATTATTATTACTTCCAACTTGTCTTTCGGTTCATATATCTTTATCAGAAAGCTACAAGAGCTGTGTTAAAAATTTGTTTTTTTTTTTATTTGAAAATTCAATTTATTGTGACATGAAATTTTTGTTATTTTTGCTAATTTTTTATCTTGTTAATATGACTAAATTTTGATTCTTTTTTATTTACCAAAATTCTTCCCCCTATTTCTGGAGGCGTATTATATTGTTGTTTAGGGGGACCAAAATTTTTTTAATAAAAGTTTTTACTAAGCATTCAATGTCTTTTCGTTTGAATCAGTCAAAAACAACTTGACGTGCGTATTATTTTTTTATACTAGTAAATTAAGAGATTACACTTCAATTTCTATTATATTACTGCTCATAAATATTATTTAATTATTATTATTATTATTATTATTATTATTACTACTACAACTACATAATATAATTATATTGCTTAAATTTATGTAACATAAATTGTGAGTTCATATAAAATGATAGTTTTAATTAATCACATCATCTTTGTATCTATATTAATCTTGTATAATTTAAATTAATTATGTAATATTTTAATTTTTTTGTGTTGAAGCCAATTATTTCATAGAAGTTTTGTCATGAAATGTTGTTTTTTCATTATGTTTAGTGTTCATTTAACAATAAATAAAGTGTAATATTAAGTATCAATTTTTTATTTTTACTAAAATTCTTTTATTTATTTTTTTATAAATGTTATTAATGTAATAAATTAATAAGAAAGTATTTTGAAATATTACAAATAAAGACATTACATAAATTAAGGTGATCTTAATTTATGTTATTTTTCCCCTCTAACATCTCATTTTTAATCATGTAAAAGCATAATATAGAAGTCTTTTATTTCAGGTATTACAATAATATTAAAATATTTGTAGATATTATATTCTGTAATACTTAGAATAAGGTGATTTATTAATCACAAATCAACCTAATTAGTTGAAAAGTAAAAATACACAGAATTTTTTGTTAGTTTCTTTAAGATCCATATGTTTCTTATTATATCAGTCAAAGATTTTTTTTATTTTCACTTCTTATACCTTATAAAAGTGTCAACTTTTTCAAACTGTAACATACATAATTAACTAGTTTAAATTCAATTTCAAAAATGACTAGTGATAAAAATAAAATCTACATCTCGCCTACTGTCATTACTAGCATGTTAATAACTTCCAGAATACGGGTCTAAAAGTTGTTGATTAGTCATTTTCTTAATTAAATCATCACCTATTAAATAAACTAGTTAATAATACATGTTGTCATTTGAAAGAGTTGACATTTTTATAAGATATAAGAAATGAAAATAAAACACTGGTTCGAAAACTCGTACCCCGAGTGCGAAAGACTAGCGTAACCGACTCAATAACCATACATCACACATGATTTAGGAAAAAATGAAAAATTTAAGCTAGTTCAAAAATTCAAAGTCGTTTATCTAAATTTGGGAGACAAAATATTTAAAATAAGTTTAAATTAATGTTCAATTTAAATTTGAAGCATGAACTTTTATAAAAATCGATGCACTGATTACTATGGATTGTCATAGTAATCAGTTTATCAGGGGTATTTTAATATAAAAAACTCAACCCAGCACAATGGGGCGCGGCACAGTGGTGACGTGCCATAGTTGGATCAAGTATAATGATATCTGACAATGATTAAAATCACTATCAAAAAAACGATTCGGTGCAAATCTTTAGATAGTCTTTAATTTTGAAAAATTGGTGGATTATTCCAAAAGCTACATGATCTGCTATTTCTTTATTAATATCCTGATTAAGTTAAGGTATGTCGAATGAAAGAAGTATATAAATATTATTTCTTATAAAAAAATTGTATTGATCCATACATTTTTCAAAAAGTTATAACATTTTAAAGTTAAAAATGTAAAATATAAAATCGAGAATTTTAACACAAAAATAGCATACGGTAGCCATTTTCATCGTGAAGATAAAATCAAATCTGAAATTTTTTTTTCCATAATAAAGTATATTATATTAGCTTTAATTTAAGATATATATATAAGTGTCAGTATTTCCGGAACACTTTCAAAAGTTAAGTTAAAAAAGGTAATTTTTTGTAAAAAAGTTGTCATTTTAAATCCCCCAACTGTGAGCAGGTAAAGGGTCAGATTTATAAAAAAAAATATACCAAATGATAGGTAAAACATTATGTAACTATAAAAAAAATATTATATGGATTTGGTTATTTTTTGGAGATTTCCCACATTTACGGGGAACGAGGGAATTTTTTCAATTTTTGAAGGTAATGTCTTCGACTAGATACGATTTGTGATCTTTTGACGTATCGTTGAAAGAAATCAATTCGGTGAGAGCTGAGAAAAATTGGTATCAGACACAAAAAAAAAACGCGTCATAGTAAAATTAATATCTTCTCAGCTTCACATCGAAGCTAAAAATTATAAGAATATAATTGTTTGTCCATCATATTATCAAAATATAGGTAAAAATAGAGATTCTCATTAAGGAAAATTAATATTAGGTTTTTTATCCTTAATTACATATTATTGTAGAGTTTTTGAATAGTTTCCGAGAAAATGAGTGTCTTATCTCTAATGAATCAATTATATAACAAATTTGACTTGTAGTTTCAGTCAACTTTCCTATTAGCCAATATTAAAAGTAATCTTTATACTATTATTAATATTTATTTCTACAGACTTTAATTCTGTTAACTTTTTCTCTATTTTTTGAACTTCTGTTCTTGTTAATTATAAAGTTTATTTACGTATTGACATTTTTACGGCCTACAATAACAGATTAATGACAGTGTTGAATTTTCCCATAAAATAACTCTTGTTCGAAATCTTAGTATTTTCTATAAGACGCAATGGGTCTATAGAATATAAAAAGATACTTTTATCTATTTAATTGTGTCTGTATTGTAAATTACAAAAATTATTGGAAAATTTGATGAAGAATATCTAAGTTGCAAACAAACTTAAACAATAGTAATTTTATAGTAAAATGTTCAATAGTAAATTTTTTATAATTTATACGTAATATAATTTTTATTTAATATTTATGTAAATTTAACATGCAGTACTAGTTTGAGTTTAACAATATTTTATGTATAAAATTTACAGCGTGGAACAGATCTAGCTGACAAATCTTATAACTAATATTCTACATAACATTTTATACATTTTTCTTTTTAATCAATTTTTACATTATAGGATTATATTCAATTAAAATACGTACGTATTATGTTATTTTTCAAATGTACAAAAAATAATTTATTAAAATTAACATTTTTTTTTTATGATTTGAAGATAGCCATTAATAGATAAGTTTTAAAGAAAGATGTTGATACCAAAACTAAGTGTTGATAGACCAAGATAGAAGAACTTTTTAACTTAATTTTTGAAAAATTTCCAGAAATACTGACACTTTTATATAGATCTTAAATTTAAGCTTATGTAATATCCATTTATATGAAATAAAATTCGAACTTTATATTGTTGACAAGATAAAATCAATAAAAGTTTCTTCAATTGAAACAGTACCGTTAGGAATTGTTAGGGGCTAGTTTAATACTTGATGATCTTGGTCAAAACCAAGAATCGGAAGCTACCCGACGTCTGCCTAAAAACGTCCCTATCTCCTTAAATGAGTTTTAATTACCCGAAGGAGACACGGGGAATCTTGTACCTTAATTATAGGGGATAGATTATTAAATAAAGTTAGTCTATTGTTTTATGTCAACGACAAAGTAAAGTTATATTTTAGATGTTCAGTTAATATAAGTTATATGTAATATACAATACGTCTGACCTGAATCCTAATACAGAAAACAAATTAAGTTATAAATAAGACAAAAGTAATAGTATTGAAAACTATGTCTATAACGGCCACTCAAACACAACTGCCCTTTGTTAGATCGACGTCAGTAGCTCCGGGCTACACACGAGTAGAATTGTCACATTAGCATCTCCTTCTATGCTCATTAATATGTATTACGAATTAAATAAATGGAAATAAAACGTGTATAATATAAGTGGTAAGAACATAGTAATAAATGTTCTTACAATATGTACACATACCTTAAGTCTTGGACTATTTGTTCTTTATGAGATGCATCTGGTGTAGAATCAAACATAATTGAATAATATTTTGATTCTTTAATACAGTTTAATGCTTTTTCTCTGGTTACCTTTCCAAGAATGGAAATTGTTTCGTTTTGAATTTGCGGAGAAAAATAAATAATTACATTATTTTTAGTGTTTACTTCTTTAATATGCTTTGCCAAAATTGGATTATAACGACTCAATAATTCAAGAGTATTTAAAAACATTCCACAATTAGATTTTCCAAATTTTTTGTCAGTACCTCTAAGAGCAAGATTATTTACTGCACAAAATAAAATAATGTCAAATAAAATTTTTAAAAGAGTTTTCCACTTTTCTTTTTTAGTTTTTATTGAATTCTGTAAAGTACAATCAATGTTCTTGTCTTCATAAAGTCTTTTTTCCAAATCTTTCCATTTAAATACACATTGTCTATGTAAAGGGCTTTTCTCATCATTTGAAATTTTTTCCAATTGTTGAATCCCAAAGAAATGCTTGAATAGTATTGAATTTTATCGATGGAAAAAAGAACACACGGAAAACAAAACTGTAGTTTTTTTTGTTTACTATAAATTAACCATAGAAGTCTAACTTTTTCACCGTTAAGTAAAGTTCTGTAAAGCCATTTTTCATGAAAAGTCTGTCTGTTTCATCTAGTGGAAAATTGTAGTTTTTGTAATTTAATAGTATTTTTAATAGTATTTTTAAAATACTATAATTAAAAAAATGTATTTAATTATGTTAAATCAAATCTTGGGTAATAAGTTTCCATCAATAAAACTAGTGTTGAGTGTGTATTTTATAAAATTTGTTATTAATTTAAATGTTCACAATAGTACTTCATTAGTTTATATTAAAGTTAAAATATGTTGGCAAAAAACCAGAATACTTAATGAAAAAAATTTCATTCTGTTAAAAAAATTGAATCATTTTACAATGATTGGAGAACATTATCAAAATATGCGATAAGAATATCACCATTATATACTAGAAGTGAATAGGAATTTGTTTATTAATTTGATATCGCTCACTCTAATGCTTAACACTTGATTAAAATGAAAGTTAATAAACAATTATTATTCGCTCAGAGAGATAAGGGGAAGGCGAGGCTGTCGATAAATTTAATAAAAAACATGGAATAAATCAACAAATTAAAGACATAAAAATACCTTAAGTAAAAGATAAACTTTTGTTGAAATGGAAATGTTGGGGTAGCTATAAAAATGTTTAAAATAAATTCTTAATAATTAGTTGTTACGTAAAAAAAATATTTAAACCGATAAAATAGTTGCTGCATTTTTTAGATGCAAATAAGCGATAGACAAGCAGTGTATACAGTGGCGGCTCGTGGCTTGGACAACGAGATGATCGCATCCCCTACTAAAATTAATTAAAAGAAGAAAATTAATTGTATATCCTTAATTGTATATTTTTATTAAAAATGCAAATTTTTAAATAGTAAAATAGTTATAATACATTTATCGATTGCGAACATTAAAGTTGTTTCCCTCTGTATATGCAGGTACGCATGCACAAACGAGCAGTGTTAGGGGACGACCGACTAAATTTGACAATTTTTTATACCTATAACTTCCGGTATTATATTTAAAGTCGCACCTCTATTACTAGAATCCATGAGCCACTACTGGTTATATATATTAATGACAATCACGGAATCGTTTGGAAAAGAATAAAAACAAATTTTGTTAAAAGTTCCCTTGAAATCAAAGACTTCAAAAATTTACAATAAAAATATCTTGGTTTTTACATTAAAATATGTTTAATTTTATTTTACCTATAAATTAAATGGTTTTAATTATGAAAATTCATTATGTTGGATGCCAACGGCGTGTCTTTTAAAGAATTGTGTTTTATTTCATAAAGTAAAGAAACATATCAAATGTTATGAATAATCGGAACAATAGAAACTCTTTTCTTTGTTTACCTAACACCTTACATTGTACTTTTGATTTGAATATTATTTCTAAATGATATATAAATGCACATATGAGAAATAGTATTCAAATCGTTATATGAAGCTTTGTTTAAAATGAGCTCAAATGTAAAAAAAATCTATAATATATACTTTTTTAAGTGTGTGTAATGATTGTCAAGTATTTTTACATTTAGTTTGATTGGGTTTTTCTTTTATAACGTAAATGTAAAAAAAGAACCACTTACATCATTCGAGTGCAAAAGACAAAACAACCGAAGCTTAAGTAATGAGCGATTCTAAAAGACAATTCTTACTCAATACGTAACTACCCCCTAAGGCACAGAGCTTATATATAATTATTATTATCTGCGTTTGATAGTTATGTAAAAGCTACAATACATAATACAAACTACAGGGTTTAAGTAGTCTCAGATACCATTGTATCTATCAGAAATAAACTGTATAGATTATGAACAAATAATGGACCATCCTGTAGACATTCATTATGCTAGCTTTCAAATGTGCCTATAAATTGTTGTAATAATCGTGAGTATTGTTCTTTTGATAAAATGAAGTCGCTCGGAGTATGCTTCTTTTTGGTGGTATGTCATCTGATCATTTTACATGTAAAAGGTAAGGTTTATTTACTTTATTTTTTAAGTAGACAAACGGCGAAGAGTTTTCTTATCCCGTTTATAAGTAAGAATAAACATTACTTGGCACATATCATGAATTTTTTAATTGTAATATTGAAATTGTCATTTAAGAATCAGTTCAAGACAGAAGCGAACGAGATAGCAGTGTTTTAGCTAATGATATGACAAGTAAGTTATTAAAAATGTTTTTTTTTAACTCTTGATGAGTGATACAAATTAATGCATATACTTTTAGACTATTTTCGTACGCCAATACATAATCAACCTGAACACGTCCGAACGTATGATGATGATGAAAAAGACGAGAGTGTGTATTAAAATCTGTAATTAAGTTTAAAAGTGATAAACATTATATACTGAAAATAATCGTATAACTGTGCCTTAAATAATAACTTATAATTTTTGTCGGAGAAGCTATTAGTATTACTTTGTTCAGTTATTATTATACTTTGTGTTCGTATACATCATAAATCCCGAAGTATAATATAATGTATTATTTCAAATTATATTCGTATAAACTCAAATATTACGTGAAACATATCCAAGCATATCCAACTAGTGAATGCACAATTATACTTAAATACTCAGAACAGGTTGGATCAAGTACAATGATATCTGACAGTGATTAAAATCACTATCAAAAAAACGCTCTTCGATGCAAATCTTTAGATAGTGTTTAATTTTAAAAAATTGGTGTATTATTCCAAAAGCTACATGATCTGCTTTTTCTTATTAATATCCTGATTAAGATAAAGTATGTCAAATGAAAAATGGATATAAATATTATTTCTCATAAAAAATTGTGTTGATCCATACACTTTTTAATAAGTTATAGCATTATAAAGTTAAAAATGTAAAAAATAAAAACGAGCATTTTCACACAAAAATAGCATACGGTAGTCATTTTCACCGTGAAGACAAAATAAAGTATGAAATATTTTTTTTCCCTTATAAGTTTTAATTTAAGATATACAGGGTGATTTTTTTAACATAACCCACTCAATTACTTAAAGAATAATAATTATTAAACATTTTTTTTTTATTATTATCTTTAGTTACACATTATTCTTGAATTATTAACTATGTAATACTTTTTAAGTTCATCCATTATGCCTGGTAAGGGTGTCAACTTTGTTTTTTTAAATGGTAACACATATTTTTAATTTAATAAAATGTTTGAGTTTTTAATTCAATAATAAACGGCATTTGAATTTTTAATAAACTTAATTTGTTTATTAGATATAAACATTTAAAGTTTCAAATTTTTGAGTTAATATGCATGTAAAATAACAAGGGATTACAAATACATGTAGCTAATTGGATTTTTATGACATTGCTGTCACAGTCACGGATTGTTTATTATCAATTATGACTATCATTAGATATACTTTCTGTATTATCAGTTAGTGTATTTATAAACTCACAACAATGTACCTTACTATCATTGATAATAACAATGCTGTGTACTTGCTAATATCGATGTCATAAAAAATCAATTAGCTACCTGTATTTGTAATCCCTTGTGTATTATACATATATATTAACTTAAAAATTTGAAACTTTAGATGTTTATATCTAATAAACAAATTAAGTTTATTAAAAATTCAAATGCCGTTTATTATTGAATTAAAAACTCAAACATTTTATTAAATTTAAAATATGTGTTCTAATTTTAAAAAACAAAGTTGACACCTTTACCAGGCATAAGGGATGAACTTAAAAAGTATTACATAGTTAATAATTCAAGAATAATATGTAACTAAAGATAATAAAAAAAAAAATGTTTAAATTATTATTATTCTGTAAGTAATTGAGTGGGTTACGATAAAAAAATCACTCTGTATATAAATGTGTCAGTATTTCCGGAGCACTTTAAAAAGTTAATTTTTTGTGAAAAATTATATTGATTTGTTCATTTTTAAGAAAGTTATGGCAGTATTAAGTAAAAAAAATTGAAAAAATTAGCGATTTTAAATTTGTAATTTTTTTGGAGGTTTCCCCCATTTACGGGGAACGAAGGAAATTTTTTCAATTTTTAAGGGTAATGTCGTCGACTATATACGATTTGTGATCTTTTGACGTATCGTTGAAAGTTATCCGTTTGGTGAGAGCTGAGAAAAGGTAGTAACAGACAAAAAATAAAAACACATCATAATAAAATTAATACCTTCTCAGCTTCTCATCGAAACTAAAAATAATTAACACCTTATATTTTTAAAATACTTTCTAACTATTATTACAATTGCATAACTAATCAATTTTAAAACCTTTACCTGTTATCAATTTTATTAGTTGAACAATTACTACATAACGTGTAATAAATAAATATTTGAAGTGCTTGTAACAATATCCGGAAAAACACTCTTGTTAAATTGTCGAATATGCGTTGAAATTTCCTTCCGAATAATTTCCTTTGTATTATTTCCGGTCCATGTACATTAAATAATAGTATAATGTATAATGTATAATGTATTGTCTAAAAAAAATTACCTTTTTATTTTTCAGTTCCTAAATTGGCTAATGGTAGAATTAAGGTTGCTGTTATTAATGGTGGTAAACGAGGAAATCAGTTTAAAAGTGAGTTTTTATCATTAATACAGCGTGATCGGTTTATCATAAACCACTCATTTATCCTCAAAATAAATAAATGATTGGCAAAACAATTTTTGATTTTTTTAGTTATATATAATTCTTGATTTATCAGCTAATATTTAATTTTTAGAATCATTACTTAAAACTTGAAGGGGTGTCAACTTTATTTTTTTTAAATGGTGACATATATATTTAACTAGCTTATAAAATAGGAAATAATCTAATTAAAATAATTACTAGTCGATAACGACTTTTGGACAAGTATTTCAGAAGTTATTAACAATTGACTGGAAGTGGCTGCTATTTTTATCATTTGTCATTTCTTGGCTCGCACTCTTAGTTCCGCCCTCTTAGTCACGCTTAGGTATAAAAATGATAATAACATCCAAAGTCCTGTCCAAAAGTTGTTATCGGCTAGTTATTTTACTAATTAGATTATTTTCTATTTTAAAAACTAATGATATATGTATGTTACCTTTTTTAAAAATAAAGTTTATACCCCTTTAAGTTATAAGAAATGGTTTAAAAAGGAAAAAAAACCAAAAATGTATGTAACTGAAAAAAAACAATATGGTATTTATTTTTAGAATAATCGAGTGGTTTTTAATAAACTGATCACTCTGTATAATTATTTTATTCAATACTATCCTATATTTTTCATAATAGATTTTATGCTTACCAAAGATGTGCCCAAAGGTAATTTAAATTTTTTGTCAAAGATTTTTTTTTTGATATATTTGAATTGGTTTTTAGAAGAAATTCAGACAAAAAAAGAATCTTACATTCCCATCAAAGCTTATGGAAAACGAGGAGGTGAAAGTTACTTGCCAGTAATTTTAGGTATTTTAAAATTTTTTTTGACAATATAATACTACATAATAATAGTATTTACTAGGTATTATTGTTCAATATTATACAAATAAAAAAAAACAGCGTTGGTGCAAAAACTTGGAGATATTCTTTATTTTCTTTTTGTGATGCAAAATGTAATTTACAATGTCGGTACCAAGGGTTAATAAAACATGTTTTAGTTATCTAACATGTTATTTATATGATTTAATGTAGTAAACTTACTGTAGGTTTAATATAAAAACATAAACACTCAAATGATTATGTATTTTCATTGTTTTTATTGCATTTTAATGTTGTAAAAATTATTCAAAAATAAATCGTAACGATAATTTTAATGTGAGATACATGTTTACAAAAAATAACAATTACAAAAATTTAAGCCAAAAATGTATCTAAAATTAAATTTTGAAAAATAATATATTTTGTTCACTTTTGTTTAGGTTTATATTCAGATTCAGGTTACATAGATCCGTTTCAAAAATGGCTAGTATCAATGCCTTATTATCATTAATTTTCTTATTAAGCCGCATTCATAATACAGTCGAAGATAATATAAGCATTGTCGTCGAATGACTTTTGGTATTTTGCAATTGATTGTAATTACAGCTATAACAAATGAATTACCACAATGTTACTTTTTTAATCTATTTAAATATATATCATAAACAAATTTATTTATTTTATTTTATTTTCTATTAAAAGCTTGGAATTTGTAAAAATATTTATTTATTATTGTTTCTATTCAAATATTTATGTTTTTTATGTTTATTTATAAATAAAAACTAGAATGATTTATTTTAGGTTATAAAATATAATGAATTTTCTGTGAAACCATCGTCAAAAATTATTAACACTTATATGTAAAACGAATACTTAGATTTTCAAGTTTATTTTATAATATTGTAATGAAATTGAATATAGTTTATGATTAAAATAATTTTATGAAATATTCATCTTTAGACTGATTGTAGTTTGTTAATAATTTAAAATTGAGGCTGATAAAATGTCTTGTTATTTTCCTAATGCATTTTTATTGTAGTCATCGTACTTTATATATTCAAGTATATTATTATTTTTGATTCCTGAAAATCGTTGTAGTTGCTATAATATAGTTCATTTTTAGTCCGTATATCTTGAAGATATTTTTATGAATATGGTAATGATTGATGTATCATAGTGTGTATTTCTTTTATTAGAATTTTAATTAATTTATACAATAATTATAAATATATGCCTATGTAGTGTGATAAATAGAGTATGATTTTTTAAGAACGATCCCCTCAATTTTTTCATTAAATAATGATTTTTTAATAAAAATGTAGAAATTCAATTTTTTTAGTAGTTAAATAATAATTGTTCAATTATTTATCATTTTATTCCTGGTGCTTGATAGTATAAAGGTGCCTATTATAATTGGTTTTGTATTAACACAAATATAATCTTAAGTAAATAGTACATATATAAAGTGTCTTATTAATTAATATTTAAAAAAACATCAATTTTGTTGCAAAGCCACTCTAGTCAAAATTATATACACATAGTATACTGCAACACAAAAAAACTTTTTCTGTAAAATTTTATAAAAATATAAATTACATTTTATATTTAATGTTTACAACAATGTTGACATAATAATTTTTATTAGTTTACTAATTTTATTTTATTTCGACTGCAATATGTTTTTAAAGCATAAAGATTGTTTTAATACTGTTGTGGTATGTTGATTGTGACAAAATAAATATTAATTAAAATTTTCAAAATATAATATTTCGCAAATTATTTAGTCTAAGTTGACCTTAGAGTAAATTTTTAAATGTGAAAATATATTGTTTAAAAAAAATAGAGATAATGAATGTTGTTAACTTTGAGTCTTATTTACTTGTTATGAAGTGATTAAAAATTTCTCAAAATTCACTTTCACGCATGAAGTTAATAATATTTACTTAGTTCTTAGTTGTTGTCATATGTAAATAAAGATTCCTTAGCTTTCTATTTTATTATACAGAGATCTTTTTAATTATAAGAGAGAATATTTACCTTTTATAATTAACATTATCTGATTCAAGTACTCCTATTTCTGTGTGATTTTTACATTGAAGATTTAGCATCTTCGGTTGATGTGCTACTTCGTTGAATTCTCCGACAAGACATAATACTTGAACTTCTTGTGGTTGTCGTAAGCGTTGGACTCCCAATGATGCTGGACCTGGTGAATCGTTCTACTATATAATATCAAAAATTAACAAAACTAACATTTTAGAAAAAAATTTAATTAAATTTTTGCCTAAAATATTGTGGATAATTGTTCAATATCTTATGTTAAAATAACAAGATGTTTTGATATTTACAAATTTTCCATTTTTTTTTTTTTTTATAGATCTATTGTATTATATTCCATGTATAAAATAATATGCTAATAAGTATTTAGCTAGAATGAATAACAATATTGTAATCTAAATATTGTATTTTTAACATGCATCTTGAAAGTGAGCCATAGTTGATTGATAGTATCGAATTTATTCATAAATTTATAAATTTATTCATAATCTGTTTAGATTATTACTAATTTGTGTATGAAAGAGGAAAAATTTACCCTTAGAAACAAATACAATACTAAGCGTGGTAATTTTATGTGAACGGTTTAAGTATGCTGCAGTTTCTTGAAATTTAGTTATAACCTTTTATTTTTTAGACAATAATTATTTTAATTTTAGGTACCTGATTTAGATCTAGTCAAAAAGTAATGGGATGAATCACCATTCACTCTAATAACATTCAAGTCATTAGAATTTCTTTCAGATTTTCTGAGACAGGTACAAAAACATAAAACAGCTTTAAAGTAAGTCCTGAACCTGTAAAATATATTAAATTTATATAAAACTATTAAAGTATAATAGTTAATTAGATAATTTATTTGTGTGCCCGACCCCAAGTAGTTGGGATTAAGGCGAGGAAGAAGAAGAAGAGATAATTTATTTGTGTAATATTCTTTTTTAGTATTTATCTTATGTTAATTAATATACTCTAAGACGTAAAGTTAAAAACATAACTACAAATATTTTATTACGTCTAAAATACTATTTAATAGTATAAATAGTCCAAAACATTATATAAAGAAAGGAGTTTTAAAATATGATATTGTAATTCTTAAATTTGCAAGAAAATCAATTTTGGACAAAACTTTATTGGCAGAAGATTGTAATTAAAATATTTAAATATATCTTCTGTAAAAAAAATCGTGTAGAACAGACTTTACTCCTTCACAATTTTACAGTAAAAACTGTATTTACTTTGATTTGATAAATTTTTAATGCAACTTTTCACTTGTACTTATTTTAAGTGCTGAATTATAAATTTGAGTATATTCGTGTAACATAAGTTTAAAGCATTAATATGTAAAACCAATTTTAAAAACTACATTAAAATAATAGAATGATTGATTTTTGCGTGGTCATTATATATAAATCTGAATCTTTTATGATTCATAATTCTTGAATAATTATGTATTTCTGATTCAACATTTTAATATGTATATGTATTTTTTATTAATAGTATTTTTAAGATATAAATGAACAGATCAACTTACATATTTTTATTCAGATATATAAATAAAAAAATTGTTTTAAAATGTTTAAAAAGATTCAGTTATAGATATTTTTTTTAAAGCATATGCTAGTGGAATAGAGAAAGAGAATCCTATGCAGCTCAATGCAACATATTTGAACGCTTGTTACACGTTGAAGTATGAGCCATACACTATTATGCTAGTATTAAACTTTATAATTATGTGAATTAAATGTTAAAAACGAACCGGGGATTCATCCAATAGTAAATTATTGGGTTCACCATGGAGTTAGACATTGCAAGCCAGTAAAATGCCAAAAACAAATCTTGTACATAGGCTTTACTAACGATATCTTTGTTGTGGTAAGCGTATACAAAATAAAAGTGATAAGGCAACCAACAGATTATAAATATAGCGACGACAACAGCAAACATTCTAACTACCTGCAAAATAAACAAAATACAATTAAAATAGTTTTTGACGAACAGCGTATCTTAATACACCCGAACAGATATATACTATCAGTATAGTTGCAGCCACCGACTAGCAACCATCACTATGAAGATGGACTCTGCAATGAGTCCGAAACGTCAGAATTTAACTGTAAACATGGATACATCCTTAGCACTTCAAGCAACAAGACAATCCATTGAAGCTTTAACACATTCAGATATATAATATATATNGTTGCAGCCACCGACTAGCAACCATCACTATGAAGATGGACTCTGCAATGAGTCCGAAACGTCAGAATTTAACTGTAAACATGAATACATCCTTAGCACTTCAAGCAACAAGACAATCCATTGAAGCTTTAACACATTCAGATATATAATATATATTTTTCCGTTAATTTGAGGAATCATTTCATTATTATTTCTAGATTTGCGACGCTATGATGGTGAACTGATTAATTATTGGGTTACTTATTCAAATGCGAATTTAAAATATAAATTAAAAAATATACCATGTCTCTTTCTCTGATCGTAAAGTTGTTGAGAAATAAGAAATCTATATAAATATACAGCGTGATTTTTTTATCATAACCCACTCAATTACTTACACAGTAATAATAATTTAAACATTTTTTTTTTGGTTTTCTTTAGTTATACATTATTCTTGAATTATTAACTATTTAAAACTTTATTTTACGTATTATAAATTTAAAAAAAAATTTGTCCCGATGACCTATCTTCTACGTGCAAATAATTGCCCTAGTTAAAAAACATAATATTTTTGTGTTCAAATTATTTTGTTTATTAGAAATTAGATTTTTTCTATCGCTTTTTTTTTTTGAGATTATTACTAGATAGAAACACATGAAAAAAAAAATTAAAAAAAAAAATTATCAAGTTATTATTAATATTTAATGTATTAAAAATAATCCTTGCAAAATTTCAATTAAAAATAACATTTTTAACTTATTTTTTTGATCCTTTATAGTTGATTAACTATAAAGGATAACAATAGTTAGAAAGTTTATAATTTCAAAATGTTGAACTTTTAAGCACAATTTTATTTCAACTTGCAAGTTTAGAATTGATATCATTAAATAAAAAATGTTATGTGAAATAAAATATCCTATTTTTTAGATTGATATGTGATCAAAAACTCATTTAATTACTATTAACAGTAAATTTATGAGGAAAACTCAAATTTACGTTAAAAATGTTTTATTGAAATAAATCGTTTAATTAGAAGTCTTAATAGGCATTTCTATGCAACTCATGGAGTTTAAATAATAATTTATATTGATACTGGACATAATACCTTCTGCTTGTTACGTATTTTTTTAATTAAAATATATTTATTGATTATTCACATGTAACATAATAACCAAACATAAATATTTTTTATATTAATTAGAAGGATTTTGTTATTATTTCGCACTAAAGTTCATATGAAACTCCGCATGAAAGTCCATATGCGAAACTTAAATGGCATATTTGAAATAGGCAAAAAATGGGTTTAGAAAATTATATTTTGGTCTTTGATAAAAATTCCTTGTAGACCAATAAATTTATTTATAAGTAACAAACAATTTTTTTTGAAAAGTATTACATTAAACCTTTTAACTTTATATATGTTTGTCATAAAAATAATTTCTATTTTATAATTTTTTATAATTTCTCCGTATAAATTACAATACTGAATTGTTAAATATCAATTTCATACTACATTGAATTGCTACAATAAATACTTATTCATATATTATACTTATAAATCATAGAACTACTAATTAGGAATAATGATAGAAATAGGAGTTAATTTTGCTTTCAGAATAATCCACCAATTTCTTAAAATTAAAGACTATCAACAGATTTGCATTGAAGCGTTTTTTATGATAGTGATTTTAATCACTGTCGGATATTATCTATACTTGTCCCAACTATGCCACGCGCACACTGTGTCGCGACCCTACTGTGCTACCGTTTTTTTAATATTAAAAATAAATTATAAATAGGCTTTTAACGTAGTCTAAGAACGCAGAAATTATTTACAATTTTCAAAAATTTACAATGAAATGATTATTGTATCAAAAGTTACAAGAGTAGTCAGTTAGATCTGTTTTACCTGTATATATATTAAAGCTCTAAAGTATATATAGAATATTCAGAAAGTAAGGAAACGGGTTTCTATTGTTCTCATTGTTTATAACAATTAATCTGTTTCCTTACTTATTAAACATTCTACATACCAAATATTTTTAAAAATTGAAAACTCAGATGTAGAAACCTAAAATAAAAAAAAATTATAATCAAGCTTTTATTTACCTTACTTATAATTTTGACTTATTACTATTTTTGAGCACAAAAATGTATGTTAAATTTCAATGCGGAAGAACGAAGGATACCAATTTTAATACATTCAAATAAAATAATAAATAGCTGTTGACAATTTTGAAACAATAAATTAACTAGGCTTTATTTAAATATAAACGATAGTGAATAAAATTAGTAGATTTTAAACTTTTATATTTTGTTATGTTATACTTCTGTTTTAAGTATGAAAAGTCACATTATATTTGAATAAATGTTTACAATTTCTGTAAATATTTGTTTTAATTTAAAAACGTTTAACTTAACTGGTTTGATAAAAGTTTTGAAAGCATATAAAAAAAAAGTTGTGGATAATAGCATACAAAATAAAATTGATTATATTTTGAAATGTTATTTCATGTTTTAAAAGTGATTTATACTTTATGAATAAAGGAATTAAGAATAAATTATTTATATTTTATTACTATTTGAATAAATATTACTATATTATATTAAATTTATAAGCTTCAAAGTCAATTCTACAAAACTATAGTAAGCTAATTTAATTCACAATAAACAGTAAAAGTTTAGTACTTGAAATGATTAAATTGAAGGTTAATTTTGAATGTAAAAAAGGATTAGGAGGTCTTAAAAGATTTATTAATTATAATTACAAAGTTTTATGCTGCTGCTGCTGAATCTTAACGATAAAAAATGGTTTATACGTCTTGTAGAGATGTGAAGTGGATAAATTAAATATTTGATTAATGTATTCAATAAAATGAAAATAAGTAATCCTTTTAGGTGTGGTTGGTTTAAAGTATAATAAATTTATACTTTAAATTAAATTAAAATTTTTCTATTTCATTCTATACTTAATACATAAAATCTTCAAATATGAACCATAGAAAATGTATAAAAATATAAATAACTTTAATATAAGGTATAAACAAACAAATGTAAAATATAATTAACAATGATTCAATGAATATGTACTTAAAATAATTTTTCAATACAGTTTCAATGTTTAAAGTCATTAATTTGAATATAAAAGACATTTATAAATATAATAATGTATAATTAATATATAATTATACTTTTACTAATAATTTAATTGTAATAGAAAAACTTAAAAGAATAAATTATCATCGGCATCTAAATTTCTTCTCTTATATGATACAATTAAATATGCAATTTAATTCTTAATAAATAAATCTTATATCAAATATATTATCATAACAATAAAGGTAATTTTAAAATAAATTTTCTTTGTTAAGTTTTATTCCCACTTAATTACTCTTAAATTTTAGCTGAACTTTCTTATTTATTAGTTTTTTAATGTTAATTAATTTTTTGTAGTGACAAGCTACTCTAAAATTTATTTTTTTTTATAATTCAAAATTGAAGTTCTTAAGTAATTAATATTGCTTGTAGTTAAAAAAATTAATTGACTAAAATTTAAAATGAAATTATGTTTACTTACTTTTCTTTTTGATTTTATAGATTCTTCATGTCTTTCAGTCATTTGTCCTATACTTTTGCTACCCCAAAGTTCTTTGCCCATTATCGTGTAGCACACAAACATCACTACGAGTGGTATAATGTAAGTAACAAATAAGAACAAAATGTTGTATCTGAAAATTATGAAACAAAATAGTGTATTTTAAAATATCTGATTGAGCTTTTTGTTATATAAAAATAAATGAAATAGTGTTTCTTTCTTTATTAATATATATATATATATGATGTTATCTATGTCTCTTCAAAATTTGATTTAAATGATTTGATACAAAAATTTTGTTACTAAATTTTTTCAAACATTCAAAAAATGGGATTTCTCTTGAACATTTAATATGTTGTACAATTTTTTCAATGTTTACAATGTTTGCAATTTTACAAAATTTACAATTTTACATGTTTATATATTTAAAAAGGAAAAGTGCAATGTACAAAAATTATAATCGTTAATTCGAAACGTTTGATAAATCTTTGTTCAATTAAAAGCAATTATTTATTATATATAACCAATTAAAAAATTCGACTTCACATTAAATATAATTTGTTTTAATTGGTTTTATTTCCCAAAATACCAATTCAATCAAGATAATTACGTAAAAATCATTAGACATCTCATAGAAATTACTAATATTTAAAAAATTATTCGAACTACTTATTAGAGAAATTATATAAGTCTAAAATACTAAATTAATAGAAAACATTAAAAAACTATCATTGGCGTGTTGCGTATATCTGAGATGACCAAGTATTAGATAAGAAACTCTTATTTAATTAAAAAAAAAATGTCATAAAAAATAACGCAATTTTAACTTTAGGATACGTGCTTGAATACTCTGAACTTGCGTCATTTCTACAATACATATTTTTCAGTGAATTATAAAGACTTACTGCAAGCTCACACCTAGAATCTTCACTAGATACACATTGATTCTAATGTATACGTATGTATGTAGTCATCCAAAACTTGTTGAAAAACTTTCAAATCTTTTGAATTTCTTGAGCTTTTAAATTATAAAAAATGACGCACCAGTCCATAAGAATATAATTTACTTGAAAACGCAATCTTTTGTGTCATACATTTTTCAAACAAGTGATTAATTAATAAATTTTATGTGACACAAAAAAAAAATTAAGGAACATTAAACGCCAAAAGTTGTATATTAATGATTTAATTTGTAATCTGAGGTACTTTTATTTTTACGAGTTTTATCATTTTTGTATTGATATATTAAATATTTTACTTATGAAAAGAAAATATTTTACAATTTAGTTTTATTTATGATTTATGATCTACAATATTTATTTAATATATAATTTCTTTGTTCAAATATATACTATTTTTGTAAACAAAAATTAAATAATGGAATATATTGTGAAGTTTTATTGATATTCATAAATTTTGATAAAAATGTCTACCATTAAGATTTAATACTACTATCAGATAAAAAAGTTCTATTCGAGTGGTTTTGTATCATTCTCAGAATTATTGAATCATTTTGCTTTTGAAATTTCTCAGAAACGACAGACATTAGTGTTGTTTATTTTTAATTTTAACATTATAATTTTATATTTAGATAAAAATGGTGTTAGTTTTTATCATAACAGTTAATTTTAAAAGCTAATTATATCAAATTGCGATTACATATCTAAAATATTTGTTTAAACTAAGTTAACCTCGTAAAAAACTCTGTTACGTTAAAAATTATTAAGAAAAAACTCTAATTTTGCTAATGCTTTACTTGGCACTATATTTTATGTAAATTTTAAAACAGGTGTCTCAGTAAACAATTCACCATGAGTTTGAAATTTATTGCAATCAAAATCATAATATATATATACATACATTTTATTTCGATAATAAATAAAATTACACGTTACTCTTGACATATAATTATAAAGGAATTTATAAAAGTCAGTAAAATATTTTTTTGCAATAAAACACTAGACAAATGTCCATTGCGTTATTGAAAAATAAATTAAAACAAAAGTAATGGCTTAAAGTAAATATTAATTGAGATGTTTAGTCTCAAAAAAAAACGTCGATTAATATCTATTATATTTAAAACATTTTACAGTTATTTTCAACTTACTCGAGTTAATTTACAAATTTATATCAATGCACGTGGATAAATTTAAAATAACCAACCAACTTAATTAAAAAATGTAAGTAATTATTTTTGGAATGCTAGTAAATTTATAGCTAGACATTACAGTGTTTTAGGCATTTTTATGTTTTGTTTTATTGATTCTATGTAGTTATTGCTTTTGAGTTGTTAATGTTAGCGAACAAAAGTTGTGATACCCAGCAATAATTTATATAAAGTGTCCAATAGTTATCGAATTCAGGCTATAGTTGAATTTGAGTAGACTTGTTCCTTGTATAGGTATAAGAGATATGGTAAAGATAATTTGACTTGAACAATGAAAGGTTGGTGAGATTAAAATAAAATCCAGCTATCCTTCCGAAATTGAACTTTTTAATTTAACTTGTTTTATACAATATGTATTTTCAGTGTTTGTTCTCCCTTTAGTATTCTAATGAACTACGATACCACTTCCGAATATCTCCTTCAATATCGTCTTAGTTTATAATTCTCTCAAAAATTATAAAAATCAAATTCATTAATTTCCTTAACAGTTTCCTAAAACTACGTGTGCTAGTCGAAGACACAGTGATTAATGCTGAAGTTGATATAATTTTATAATATTGCTTTCGCATATTTCTACTTATGCGTATAAATGGTATGGATTACAAAAAAATACATTTTTTATTGAAATTTTAAGCATTGAACAATGTTAAAAATTTACAAGAAAAAGTTCTTTTTTTTCAAAATTATTACCCTGAAATAAATTGAACAGTTGTGTTTCTAGTATAGTTGTATCTTATATGTGTACTGTAAAACACATTTGTTGTTTAGAGTGATGTTAAAGAGAGCAAAGATGAACTTACCATCCTTGCCTCATCGAAAAAATACCTTGCTCTTTGCTTGTCTGTGTCTTTTCTACTTTAAACTTTTTATTAATACTAAGATTTAATAATATATAATGAATAAAAAGTAATTATCTCAATTATACGTAATCAAATTTAAATTTAAAATACATGTATTTATTAAAAAGTTAACTCTCTCAAAGCAACACTTAAGAAAAATTTCATTGCCCTTTCATTGGTACTTATTTATTTATTTTTTAAATGACCTTTGTGTTGTCTATCGTGTATTTTGTATTATTTTGATATAAAAGAATAAAATTTTCAGTAGAACATGGAGCAGATGTGAATAATATAAATTAGTCTACAATACTTGAGGGATTGCAAACATGTCTGAAGAAAAATATTCAGTATTTAATATTAAATGTTAATAACTATACATCCATTTTTTAAAAGTTGTTACATTCCTTTAGTTAAATATATTCAACCTATTTTATGGCTTTAAAAAATCTTTTAATCAAAACATATGTTTTCATTTAGTTTGAAAAAATAATGAAGAAGTATAACTTAATCTTATGGGACAAAATTTCAATGCCGTTAATGTATACTAGATGGTTATCCCTTTGACTATAAATTCTGAAGTTATAGAACAAACGTATAATGCATTTCATTGGTTGTTCATAACGAATAATGCTCTAAATAATAGGATTTCAATAAATAAAACAAACTTTTTTTATTATATAAAAGACAATAGACCTTTTATTGGCGGTTAAATGATTTTGTCGTAGGTGGATAAAAATAAGCAAGGCCAATGGGGGCTACGCCTCCGTCACCATCTAAAACTCCTCTTAAAATTAGATACACTATAAGTATAACTCACAAAAACATTATTAATAATTTAAGTACTAAAAATAAGCTTTACACTTTCAATCAGTATTAGTTAACCATGGAATTATAATACTGTTTGATTATATTCCATTATAATATATTTGATATTCGAAATAAGGAACAATTTTTATCATTTAATTGTTATCAGTATATAAACATTTACAGTGAATTTTTATAAATGATATTTAAAGTACTGTTACTTGAAACTGTATGTCAAATTTTCTAAAAAGACCAAGTTTATGGGATAATCTATCTCTCTCAACCTCTCCGATTCATTAGTCTGGAACCTTTTGATAAGATGTCCACTATTAAATATTATTATATTGTACGTTTTAAAAATATAATTGTATTATTTGTAATAACTTTCCATAATTTTGATGTTTGTAAAAACATTTAGCCAAAGTAACAAACATCAACTAAGCAAAAAACATTAACATAAATTTGAATACTTAATTAATTAATCATATATCTAAATTTACTAACAATTATTGGCAATGAACTTTCTTATGTACAGGTTATCGAGTTATAAGTTATTACAGTTTACTGTCTTCTAACTATCTGTAATATGGATAACTTTCATATTACAGATAGTTATCCTTAGGGTCAGATTAGTGATAATTTGGTGGACTGTATTCATTTTGTACCTGTCAATTATGTCTTTGCTGAATATTATAATTAATTTATTGGTTTTGGTAGATAACGAGACATCGTTTTTAGTTGAATTGTTCAAGCAATACTTGACAATTTAATTATCTAAAAATTTTCAGTTTAGCCAATAATACTTATCTGTATTAAATGGAGAATATATCTGAAATGAATAAAATATAAAGTACATCAATTTGTATAATTTGTCAAAGATTTAAGATTTTCAAGTTGTGAAGCAACTATAGAAATAAATGTCCAATTAAATAAATTACATCGAAGTTGATGCACGCGCTGAGAATACCACTGGTATAACTTCTTCAAATGGGGCGAGGTCAAAACAATATATATACTTTGAGTTTTTTTTTCATTAAAAAATTATATTGTAAAACAAAAACTTTTCCTATTATACAAATCAAGATATTACCTTGTGTGTTAGTTGCTATTTATAGCAACTTATCGTTTAACTTTTTTACACTATACATACAACCCTTGTTCAATTTCACTTCTAGTTTTATTATTTTCTATAAATAATGTTTAGGTTGATTATAATTTTTGAAAAGTTTTTCAAATTTTCTAAATGTTTTAGATTTTGTATTTTTGTGTAAAAAAATATTTCTATTTATCTAATGACAATCCAAATATCTATTATACTCTTTC